AATAATACTCTATTTGTATACCGCTCTATCTCCCTAAGGGGACTCAGGGCAGTTTCCAACATTTAAGGCAAAACATTCAATTGCCAGAAAGGAAAACCATACAGACAAATTAAAATAAACATCATAAAACATAAAATCTTACTAAAACGTACATAAAAAATTAAAAACCAATTCCATTATAGTTCCATCAGTCGAGTTCAAAACATCAATTAAAATTGGTACATTAAAATTACCTGCAGGCCATACGTAGGGGGTACACATGAAACATAAATGAATTTTCTGATTAGATCTGGGTGCTGTCTCCAAAATATCTTTGAATATGTGTATTAAATATACAGAATACTGGGCACTATGTATATTTATTTATGACATTTATATCCCACCCTTCTCACCCTGAAGGGGACTGTTGTAGTAGAGTCCCGACAGGAACTCAGAGTGGCTTACAAGTTATATACACATACAATGCATCATATTATTAGCATAGCACAATATTAGTATTATATATTCCTATATTGTACTATACCACTATACTGTGATATTATTAGTAATATTACATGTAATATAAAATATACAATTATTATATAATATTGTTAGTAGTATTATTTATTTATTTATTTATTTACGGCACTTATATGCCGCCCTTCTCACCCCGAAGGGGACTCAGAGCGGCTTACAATATATATTTTCATACAATATATTATATTATTAGCAAAGTACAATATCAGTATATATTACTATATTGCACTATACCATTATATTGTAATATTATTAGTAATATTACATGTAATTAAATATATAATTATAATTATAATATTGAATTATTATTACTAGTATTAGATTGTATTACATTATAATATTATAAATATTATATGTATATACAATATACTATATTATATTATTAGTAAAGACAAGATGGAAATGTCTTCTGCTCCCTTCTGTCTTCTCTCTGGCCAGAGCAGCTGTTGGTGCCAGAAGGGGGAGGGGCCTCTCAAGTGATGATATAGTATTATTATATTGTATTACATTATAATATTATTATCAATATTATATGTATATACAATATATTGTATTAAATTATATCATTAGCACAGCACAATATTAGTATTATGTATTACAATATTGTTGCTGGGGGGAGGGGCTCTGATGACCCAAGAGACATGGCGGAACTGTCTTCCTGGCTCCCCTTCTTCACTCTGGTCCCAGAGCGGCAGCAGTTGATGCTGCGGGAAGGGCTCCCACCGATGACACGGGAGACAAGGTGGGACTGTCTTCCGGGCTCCTCTTCTTCACTCTGGTCTCAGAGTGGCAACAGTTGCAGCAGCAGTTGATGCTGGGGGAAGGGGCTCCCAACCGATGACACAGGAGACAAGGTGGAACTGTCTTGTATATGTAAATATTCCAAAAACTTTAAAAAATCAAAAATGTGGAATACTTACAGTCCCAAAGATTTTAGATAAAAGGATGCTCAACCTGCATATTGTTAAGCCTGCTTCAGTCCCATTATAAGGAGATAGGTATGATATAAATAATTACAACACAAAGCTATTAGATAATCCTGTCTTTGCTGAACGACTGACTGGGCAAGATTTCCACAAAGGTATGGGCCAACCTGGGCCCTCCAGGTGTTTTGGACCGCAACTCCCACCATTCCTAACAGCCTCAGGCCCCTTCCTCCCCCCCTCCCCCTCAGCCGCTTAAGCGGCTGAGGGGGGAAAGGAAAGGGCCTGAGGCTGTTAGGAATGATGGGAGTTGAGGTCCAAAACACCTGGAGGGCCCAAGTTGGCCCATACCTGGTGTAGATGCATCCAAGGTCACCCAGGACTGAGCAGAGATTGATACTTGGTCCCCAGAGCCCAGGTCTCCTTTCCCCTTCCTACAATATCTTGAGCAATTAGTCCTACTTCTAAATCGGACCAATCCCAGGCCTTCTCTGTGAACCCACTCGCCCCTGCAATCCCTCTGAGGCTCCCGCATGGGCCTCATGCCGGGCCCGCCCCGCCTCCGAGGCGCCTCCGCTCGCACGAGGCCGGCCCCATCCCCACTCCCGAGCCCCACAGGCAAAAGAGGGTCCCCTGACCTCGTCGTCATCGTCCTCCTCGACCTCCGCTCCCAGCTGCTCGACCTTGCCGGCGCCGCCTTTGGGCAAGAGCAGGCCTTCGGGAGACAGCGGCGTCGCGGCGGCCATGACTGCAAGCGAGGAGAGCGAGAGCGCCTGGGCAGCAGGGTAGAGTGTCGTCGGAAGTGAGCGCGGGAGGGAGTCTGCGTGGAGGAGCCGAGCTGCGACATCTAGTGGAGGGGAGGGCAATGAACAGCCCAGCAGCAGGTCCTCTCTCCTTCCACTGTCACAGTATTCAGGAATCGCAGTGCTCAGTCTCTGTCTGGACTATCCTCCAAAACACAGGATGCCCTGACAAATTTGTGAACATCCTGCAGCTCCTCCAGGATGGCAACAGTCTTCGAAAACAATGGCTCCCAAAGTGACCCATTTAAGGTGGGATCAGGTGTCAAACAGGGATGTCTTATTGCCCCAACCTTATTCTCTAGGAGATACAACTTAATGCCAGAGGTACAGCTTAATGGTGTGACATTTAGAAAATGTTGACCGTTTCCGCTACCTTGGCAGCCACCTCTCCACCAAAGTCAACATCGACACCGAAATACAACACCACCCGAGCTCTGCAAGTGCAGCATTTTCCGAATGAAGCAGAGAGTGTTTGAGGACCGGGACATCCGTAGGGATACCAAGGTGCTTGTTTATAAAGCTATTGTCCTCCCAACCCTGCTCTATGCCTGTGAGACGTGGACTGTCTACAGACGTCACATGCAACTCCTGGAACGATTCCATCAGCGCTGCCTCCGGAAAATCCTGCAAATCTCTTGGGAAGACAGGCGGACAAACGTCAGCGTGCTGGAAGAAGCAAAGACCACCAGCATTGAAGCGATGGTCCTCCGCCATCAACTCCACTGGACCGACCACGTTGTCCGTATGCCCGACCACTGTCTCCCAAAGCAGTTGCTCTATTCTGAACTCAAGAATGGAAAACGGAATGTTGGTGGACAGGAATAAAGATTTAAAGATGAGCTTAAAGCCAACCTTAAAAACTGTGCATAGACACCAAGAACTGGAAATCCCTGGCCCTTGAGCACTCTAACTGGAGGTCAGCTGTGACCAGCAGTGCTGCAGAATTCAAAGAGGCACAAATGGAGGGCGAAAGAGAGAAATGTGCCAAGAGGTAGGCACCTCAAGCCAATCCTGACCGGGACCACCTTCCACCTGGAAACCGATGTTCTCACTGTGGGAGAACATGCAGATTTATTTATTTATTACATGCATTTCTACCCTGCCCTTCTCCCCCCCCCCCCCCCCCCCCAAAAAAAAAAAAAGAGGGACTCAGGGCGGCCTCACATAAGAATCAAGTGATGCTGTCAACATATAAACAAAAAGGGTTACAATTAAAACAGTAAAAATCATTAAAACACATTAATAATAAAAACACACCTACGGACCCACCGCCAAGATACCACATCTGGAGGACCATCATCCTCGAGCTATGAGGGATCGCCTAAGTAAGTTTCTAGGAGCACCCGGTGGTGCAGCGGGTTAAACCGCTGAGCTGCTGAACATGCTGACTGAAAGGTTGGCAGATCAAATTCAGGGAGCGGGGTGAGCTCCCACTGTTAGCCCCAGCTCCTGCCAACCTAGCAGTTTGAAAACATGCAAATGTGAGTAGATCAATAGGTACCACTTCAGTGGGAAGGTAACGGCACTCTATGCAGTCATGCCAACCACATGACCTTGGAGGTGTCTACGGACAACGCTGGCTCTTCGGCTTAGAAATGGAGCTGACCACCACCACCCAGAGTCGGACACGACTAGACTTAATGTCAAGGGAATACCTTTACCTTTACTTATTCTCCATCTTCATCGCTATGGTTCTGCACCTTGTTGATGGGAAGCTTCCCACCAGTGTGGAAATCACCTGTCGGACAGGTGGTAAGCTATTTAACCTCAGCAGACTCAAAACCAAAACCACGGTCACAACAACATCCAATATAGAACTCCAATATGTCGATGTTAATGTAATCTGTACTTATGCAGAAGAAGACCTGCAAGTCACTCTACATTTCTTTGCAGAAGCATACAAGAAGCATGGTCTATCACTGAACATTGAGAAAACCACAGTGCTCTTCCAGCAGTCACCAGCCAATCCCTCTGCAATGCTAGAAATACAGTTGAATGATGTAATGTTAGAAAACGTTGGTCATTTCCACTAGCTTGGCAGCCACCTCTCCACAAAAGTCAACATCAACACTAAAATACAACACCGTCTCAGCTCTGCGAGTGCAGCATTTTTCCGAATGAAGCACAGAGTGTTTGAGGATCAGGACATTCATAGGGAGACCAAGATGCTTGTTTATAAAGCTATTGTCCCTTCCAACCCTGTTATATGCCTGCGAAACATGGACTGTCTACAGATGTCACACTCAGCTCCTGGAACCAAAAGGAAGAAACGTGTCAAGAGGAAGGTGCACCAAACTAATCCTGACCGGGACTGCCCTCCACCTGAAAATCAATGTCCTCACTATGGAAGAACATGCGGATTAAGAATAGGTCTCTACAGTCACCTACGGCCCTACCGCCAAAACCCTACACTTAGAAGGCAATCGTACTCGGACACGAGTGATCGCCGATGATGGTGATTCAGGGTTCATCTGTAGAATTAATGCAATTAGACCCCACTTTAACTGCCATGGCTCAGTGCTTTGGAGTCATAGTTTGATGGGGGCACCACCAGCACTTTCCGGCAGAGCAGGCTAGAGGCTTTGTAAGACAGCTCCCAGGATGGCATAGCATTGGGCCATGGCAAAGTGGCATCCAGCTGCATTGCAGATGTAGGCCATTGACGATTATACATTATTCTTTAAAAACAACTGGTGTTTTCTATTTTTTAAAAAATCACCTGAATATGCAATAAAATATACACACAATGAAACACAAAAACAATGTAATAATTTTATTTCAAAAATATAAAAATAGACAAAGCAATTTAATTCCAACATTCTACATCATAGTCATATGAATTGAAGAGAATATAAAAACATATATAAATACCCAAAAGGAGTTGTTTTTTGTTTTTGTTTTTTTGCCAAGACCAAAAAAACAAACTACAACACAGGAAAATGACTGAATCGGTATTATAATAAGGCCAACTATAAATAGGAATAATCTATTCTTACTTATAAACAGCACTGGAACACGAGAGAACAGGAAAGAAATCAGACCAAATTGAGCAGACATCTCACATTTCTGCTCTGTGTTGTAATCCTGTACTTCAGTCAATTTTGCAATAAACACAACTGAAATTCAGTTATACTATAGTCAGATTATAAACTGACTATGGTATGTAACTTTTAAAATAGGTATCAAGATATTTTATGTTATTTATGCTCATCTCAGGTACAAACAATTTAGCTAACCGGTCCTACAAAACTAGAAGTCTATCAAGTTCAACCTCACTACTCAAGTTCACAGCTAGGCCCTTGAGACACTCAAGAGAATTCATTGAGAAGTCAGTCTGAAATATATGTTATGACAATGGTCTTATACAGACATCATGGTAAACCATCAGTAGTGGCCTAGTAAACTAAGTTATCACAAGCCCAGAATATGGACTTTATTTTGTGTCATGTCTATACTTTGAACCAGGATTGGGAATTGTGTGGCCCTTCCAGATACTGTTGGACCGTAGATCCCATCAAAAGTGGCCAGCATAACCAATCATGAAAGTGCTGGGATCTATAGTTCAATGTCTGGAAGGCTGCACAATTCCTATCCTACTTTGAACTGTGGTTTACAGTTGACTTCTGGTTCTGGCTTGTTTGGAAGCTTTTAACTGTGGTTTAGATAAGAAAAGCTGTGATTATATCCAATTATCTGACCTACGGTATGTTGTTCCTTGCACAAACAGTAGGGAATTTGGCTACACTAGAATTGTAGGCATATGTGTCTTATGTCTGCATATTCTAATTTAATGAACCAGAACGTGATCATCTAAACGTAGCCAATAAGATCATAGAGATATAAGCTGTGACTGTGCTCTCCTCTTTTATTCAATATCCACACTTCAGAAGTATTTGTTGTATTGGCTTTGGTTAGAGAGAGAGACACATTCATTATTATTAAGTAGTTCACTAGCAATTGACCTGAGTAAAAGTGTGCTGCAAAGATATATTCAATTATATTTAGATAGAAGCTTCAGAAGGAAGAAAAGGAACAACTGCCTCCTGACAAGACTGGAGAACTTCTTAATATATTTCTCTTGGGATCTTGGCTATATATCCTCTGAGGACAAGGACAGCCAGGCCTTCCAAGGCAAATGTGGCCTCACTGTTTCTTGGAGTAGTTCCTTTTGGCCAGATTCTCTTGCTCTTTCCTTCCCCATCTTCTATCCTGCTGTTCACTTTCTCCTTCGACTGTAATTTTTCAATTCTTCCAGTTCCTTCTCCATGAGGTGGGACTCTGCAGTTGTTTCAGAAAGCTAAACACAAAGCAAAATGACAGTGGCATGACATTTTCCTGTGGTGCATTTGTGCTTGGAAAAGATATATTATTTTTCTTGTTTTCTTGTGAAAGCTTTACTTCATCGCCTTTTTCTAACATCAGTTTCTAAAGGAACAAATGGGTTGCTGTCCACAAATGCTTAAGCCAAATAAAACATTTTAGCTTTTAGGTATCACAAGGCTCCACATCAATGCATCATCCAAAGAGCTTTTGGATTTGTTTTGGAGCAAATCTGATTATCAGTTAATATAGAATACCAGACCCAACTGTCACCCTCTGTACTAAAATATGCCCTTCAGAAAACATCTAACATTGCTTTGCAGTTTATGTATTCGCAGAGGAGAGCTATCTTTTGGGCAACTATTTATCTGAAATTAAAGTTGTACTTACTTGAGACAGTTATATTGGAATTCAAATTCTACTACAGACCACTGACAAAGCTGCACTGATGATTGCACAAACATCCAGGCATTGTTAATACGTGTAACAGAATAAAAGACAGAAGCAAATAGTTCCCTTCTTACCATATCCAACAAAAGGTCCACTTTCAGCCGTAGTAGATTATTCTCCTCTTCCAGCTGTTGGTTCCTTCTGCGAAGGCGCTGTGTCTCCCGCTGGTCCCCAGTGCTCCCTAATGATTCTGGAAGGCAGAAACTGGCACTAAAACCATCCCATATTATAATGGAGACGTCCAAGGTGTGGCCCTGTCTTGGCCAATAGTAACCAAATGCTACAAATGCCCAGACTCACTAGGATGTGTCAGATGTCTTTCAAGAAGAAAATCAGTAGTAATGAGGTTTGGTAGAACAAGGAAAAACTTAGAACCCAAGTTAACAGAGGCCCCTTCCACACAGCTGAATAGAGTCCCACATTATCTGCTCTGAACTGGAATATATGGCAGTGTGAACTCAGATAACCCAGTTCAAAGCAGATATTGTGGGATTTTCTGCCTTGATGTTCTGGGTTATATGGCTGTGTGGAAGGGCCCTAAGACAACAACGCAAATCTCACACCTGGCCCTAAAATAGCTGAGATCAATAAAACCTAAAGCAAAAGTGGGGAAATGTGGCCTATGTTCTACATTCAACCCTAAAGGCCATTTGTCACCCTTCAAGGCTCCCCACTTCAATGTTTAAGGGAATTTAAATGTGTTTAACATTAAAAATGGTCTACACACTCTGTGGGGGACAGAGAAGACAATATTGTTGTTTTGTAGCCCCCTCCCTCCCTCCTTTTGGGCCCAGAAGAGGCTTTCTTTTTCCAAAACTAGATGTAAATTTCATTCTTGGCTCAGTGTTTCAGTTGCTGAAATCAGATAATGTGAAGCATTTTTAGGGGGGAAAAGGTGGGCATAGCCTTCTGAGTTCAGTCAGAGGCACGTGGAGCCTCACTATCTGAGAAAACTGCCCATCCCTGACCTAAGAGTAAGTATTCAAAGGTACAGAGAAAGAGAGAGAGCACCAGACAATGGCTGTAATGTCTGAGGACCTGGAAATGAGAAGCAAGACCTTGGATGTGACTGCTTTTGCGGCTTGACTTACAAAATGTCTGCTTCCTCTCACCTGCTATCCACAGGCCATTCTCAAACTTCAGATTCTGTCCAGTAAGACTCATGACAGGAGTGCCATATTCTAGTCCCAGCTCAATCTCACGGGTAGATCGGTCCAGCTGTAGGGAGAAAGCCAACACATCACTTTATTAAATATTTCATTTCTGTTCATCTCTGGGCCAAAAGTATTGGACTATTGGATTATGACCTGTTAGGATCATAACCTACTGGGAATTGTGACCTGTTGGGATCATAACCTATTGGATAGCAGAGTTTCAGGGGTGTTCCTTTAGTTTATTGGGTAATGGATGATCACTGGACACGTAAATATCTTGTTTCTATTTGATGCTCTCAGCAGACAAAGGTTCAAGTAGACATCTTTAAAATAAACTGTTTGTTTTACTCACAGCTTCGTGTATTTCAATATACAGGTACATTTCTAATCAAGTTAAACTTTAAAACGTTTCAGTTTGGATCTTTAGCTTATAGTCTTTAACAGCCTCTTCAAAACTATATTGCTCTCTACAGCTTTCCTTTATAAAAGTCTACTTCCAAAGAACTCAAGCCTCAACTGACTTCTAACTTCCAACACTGCCTTCTCTACTCAAACCGACTCAACTGTCATTCCTCGACTGTCATCCTTTTAAACTGCATTCTAAACCGTCACATGGTCTGCAACCCCTCCCACTGCCGTAAGTATATAGAGCTAAGAAAACTGCAAGCCAAAGAAGACATACACTTCAGGAAATAAACTGACACATTATAAACAGACAAAACATTAAATAGAGGAGGCTTGAGAAGGTTGCTATCTTCAACAAAAAGTCACAAAGGGGTTTCAACATTTAATAATACCTGTATTTTTTGTTTTTAACTTACATTGCCAAAGCTTCATATACCGTATAGGGAAAAAAATATATTACATGTGAAAAATCAAATCTCCTAAACTGTGTTCAATATCATAGCATCATTTACAGCATATATAGGAATCCTTTTGGCCAACCCTGTAATTATATAAACAAAGCATCTACTATGAGGTGCAGCAGATTAACAGTGACTAAATATGCCACTCTAAGCATCTATTTTGGATATGGGTCTGCCCATTCCTGTCCCAGATGCAAGAACTCACCGAGTGCAGATTGGAAAGTGAAGCAGATTTTCTCGGTGGAGTCTTCTTCGGACTGAATGTGTTTCCAAAAAGGGGCATGGCTTCTCAGCCTTAAATCCTTTCTCCGGTTACCTAATCTAGTGAGAAAGCAACAGAAGCAAAGTTCACTTCCTAAAATTCTCATATAGGTTGAATATCCCTTATCCAAAATGCTTGGGACCAGAATGGTTTTGGATTTCAGATTTTGAAATACCTGCTTTTGCATACATGTACTATCATAGAAAGTGGGACCCAGGTCTAAATGAAAAACTTATTAATGTTTCACTTACTCCTTATGAACATAGCCTAAAAGCAGTTTTATACAGGATTTGTAATATGCTTGTACATAAAACAAAGTTTGTGTACATTGAAGCATCAGAAAGCAAAAAAATGCAGTTGGATACCACTTTAATTGTCATAGCTCAATTCTATATAGAATCATGGGAATTGTAGTTTTACACAGCTATTAATCTTTTACTTTACTTTGACTTGTTTTGTGGCTGGGGGATTCAATGTGGTTGTACTACCCATTTTAATTAGCAGCTATTGATGTGTGTTTATTCATTATTTTATTTAAATTGAGTTGGGGTTTTTCCTATTTTCTATAAATGTTGTCTTATGTTAATTGGTATTGTTATTGTTGCAAATGTTGATGTGCATTATGTGTTTTTATGGCACGATTACAGGCATGGACAAACTAAGGACCGGGAGCCGGATGTGGTCACCTCAGCAATTATCTCAGACCCTCCTCATTTTCCTTGTCCTTTTGGCATAAGGCCATGGTAGCCCGCCACATCCTTATGCCAAAAAGACGAGGGAGGAAGGCACGCAGTAGATTAGAGCCCTCCAGAGCACTCTCAGCCACCACCTGTCTCACCCTCTTCCTCTTGCAAAGAGGACAGCCTTAGGATCGGGAGAGGAGGATTGAAAGGAGGCTCGGGAAAGAGGATTGGGGCAGTCACTGTGTGTTTTACTTTTTTCCCAGCATAAAGATGGGGTGAGCTTAAGCGGCCGAGGGGGGAAAGGAAAGGGCCTGAGGCTGTTAGGAATGGTGGGAGTTGAAGTCCAAAACACCTGGAGGGTCCAAATTGGTCCAGGCCTGTTTTAACCAGTCATAAGTTTAAGGTATTTAGGCAGCAAGACTGAATAATCTTGTCAATGGGTGCATCTACTACACTGTGAAATTAATGCATCTCCCAAGATCCCATTGCACTGAGCCATTGTGGTTGAAGTGGTGTCAAACTGCGTTATTTCTTCAGTGCGGATGCACCCTAAATCCCAAGTACCATCATCCACTTTTCTATTATCTCTAGAGGAAACCAGATATTCTGAACCCACTGCTCAAGAAACAGCCCCACAGAGAGTCCCCTTAATGTGTTGGACTACAACTCCCATCACTGCAAGCATCAAAAGGAAGGTAGTCCAATACATTATGATTATTACTATATATAATTATGGCAGAAAATAATAATATAGGGAGAAGAATGAAAAATGTGAGATGCTAGCAAGTTCCTAGCCCAAAGCTCCCCCCAAACAGGGGTCCATCACACCCAACAGTCGCCCAATGGATCTCCTTACCCCGTTACAGCCTTTAGACCAGTTGGCGCATGCGCACTTCCACCCGATTTGTTAGAACTCCGCGGCCAGCGGTAGCCCGGGGACGCGTCCCACAGCAGGCGAGACCATTTACGGGAGAGGGGTGAACGACGATTCCAACTTACGACAAGAAAAAGATAGAATTTTTAAAAAACCCGAATCTTTACCACTAACAGAAAATTGTAGAAACCTGAAAATAACTAACCACTTCTTTTGAGGGTAGAAATTCGAAGACGAATCGAGCACCTATCGAAAAGTCTACCCTTCTCGGTTCATGGAATGGTAGCGTCCCAAACCGCCGCCAAAGAAGGAGCGAAGGGGAGTCTCTGAGGTAGGACTGTACCATTGTTATATACGGGGGGGGYGGTGTTTTGAGAAGGAAAGCGCTTTTAAAAACAACAGGGAATAATGTCATCCTCAGTGGCTGGGCTAAAGAAGACATTAATCCACATAGTTAATATAGGAATGGTAATAAGCTGCTTCTGTTTACTTTTTCCCGAGGGATATAAATGGTTTATCCTCGCATAGGGTTGCCATGGTGATAGAAGGAAGCCGGCGGAACGTGGCCCGAACGTTCCCCACTTCCGGCCCAGAGTATAGGCCTGAAAGAGAGCCTGAACTGTGCAATCGAGGATTAGAACCACGAAGGAAGCGGTTCTCCTGCCTGGAAAGGAAGGGAGCGTCTCTCTTCACAGGCCTCGAAGCCACACAGTTGTATAATCTCTTCTAGTCCTCTTTATCAAAGTCTTATGTATGTGTGTGTGTTGGTTTAATTGCCCTGAGTCAATGCTGTGGGATCTTGGAATTTGTAGTTTGTCGAGGCATCAGCGTTCTTTGACAAACAAGGCTCAAGACTTCATAAAACTGTGATCGGAGGTGACCCACCCCCCTAGACTCTGTAAAAGATAGTTCAAAATCAGGGAATTCATAGTTTTGRCAAGGACATCAGCTGGAATGATCCCATAATCCCCTATCTCTCCTCCTGTTTTTATTAATGGTCTCCTACTACTCAGTGCTCCCCTGAACTTCCATGCACCCCCCCCCCCCATGAACTTTTATGAGTTCTTATAAACTTTCATGAACTTTATGGGAACTTTTATAAACTTTTGCCAAACTTTATGAACTTTTATCGACTTTGGGGGGCTGACGTGACTTCCCCTWAGACCAGGGGTCCTCAACCTTCCTAAGGCTGTGACCCCTTAATACAGTTCCTSATGTTGTGGTGACCCCCAACCACAGCATTATTTTTGTTGCAACTTCATAACTCTAATTTTGCTCCTGTTCTGAATCATAATGTAATACCTGATATGTAGGATGTATTTTCATTCACTGGACCAAATTTGGCACAAATACCCAATACGCCCAAATTCGAATACTGGTGGGGTTGTGGGGGAGATTGATTTTGCCATTTGGGAGTTGTAGTTGCTAGGATTTATAGTCCACCTACAATCAAAGAGCATTCTGGACTCCACCAGTGATGGAATTGAACCAAAGTTGGCACACAAAACTCACATGACCAACAGAAAATACTGGAAGGGTTTGGTGGGCATTGACCTTGAGTTTGGGAGCTGTAGTTCACTGTAGCACTGTGAACTCAAACAATGATGTATCTGGACCAAACTTGGCACAGATACTCAATATGCCCAAATGTGAACACTGGTGGAGTTTGGGGAAAAGGACCTTGACATTTGGGAGTTGTAGTTGCTGGGATTTATAGTTCACCTACAATCAAAGAGCATTCTGAACCCCACCAATGATACAATTRGGCCAAACTTCCCACACAGAACCCCCATGGCCAACAGAATATACTGTGTTTTCTGATGGTCTTTGGCGACCCCTATGACACTCCCTCATGACCGCCCCCCCCCCCACGGATCCCGACCCCCAGGTTGAGAAATGCTGCCTTCTCTCTTCACAGGCCTCGAAGCCACACAGCTCTGTGTATGCTCCCTTACCCCATTTCTCATTCCCTATATGTATGTATATATAAGTAAATGGCTCTATCTATCTGGATCTCGGAGGGCTGATGGCCAGGCCATGCAGAACAATGGACATACTGGATCACCCAACAAAAAAGGACATCTTTCCATCTGCAAGGAACCGGGGATTTGTCATCCAGCTCCCTTCTGTGCCACATCTTGCTCTCCCAAAACTAGCCTCAACTTCATCAATGAACTCCATATTGCAGGACAGTTTGACAAATGACCTAGCCTCTCGGGGCTAGATAGGAATGTTAATTCATGGAACCAAACAATAATCTAGGCCAGGCTTGAGAGCATTCCATAGCATTGATGCAGAGCAGTTATAGTGCATTCATTCCATAGCACAGAGAACCCCAAGCTTTCCTTTTCCATTGCTGGAAACTTTGCTGTTCTAACACTTTCGGTTCTAAACAAGGAATCCTAAGGAGGCAGTCACTGTAATGCTCACCTTTTTTTTGGCCAAATTACAAAGAGCACACTTTTTGGATTGCTGAAAGTTTTTCGGGTTGTATGGCCGTGTTCCAGAAGCATTATCTCCTGATGTTTTGCCAAATCTATAGCAGACATCCTCAGAGGTTGTGAGGTCAATATGAGGAATCATAAAATAGCACGATAGCTTAAAGCAAACCAGGTTAATCAGGATTTGTAAATTTTATCCAACAGTGATTGTGTTTTGCTGTGAGAGACTGTATGAAAATACGGACTTAATGGAAATATGTCATTTCTCTCCTTAGGCTTTAGTTCTTATTTTAAGAGGAAAGATGGAGCTTATAAATACAGAATCTTTTGTGAGTCCTTTAAAGGGATTTTTGACATTTCCATCAGGAACCCAAGTAACGAAAAGTAATCCCTTCCTTTGTAAATTAGATGATAAACCACGCTGTATCCTTTGTTCCCATGGTAAATATTTAATAAAGATAATTCTTGTGTACGTGTACATATCTGTTTTATTTAATTTTGAAATTTATTTTGAAATTGTAAATTAGAAAAGCACATCTAATTGTGGCATCTTGTAGTTTTGTGCTCTTAGATCTAGTGTTTACCATAATGTGTCTTTCCACAACTCCATATGAGAACCAAGGGGCTGGGAGTTAATAATGAATTTGTTTGTTGTCATAGAAAATCTGCCAAAAAAAACCTAGGAATCATTCTGTTTATGATATTTCATATGTTTTTATTACTTTGCATGTTTATTCACCAAAGCTAGCTGCTGTATCCTCAACCATTATGTTTTACTTCTGATTTACATTAAAGATGACTACTGCTATCCAAATAGTTATTTGGTGTTTCCTCTACCCATGTTTCAAGAAATTAGGATATAAATTTGGGAAGATCTTAAGCCATCCTAGATTGTTAGTCATGAAAAATAAAAATAATTTTAACCAGCCCTGCAAAACTGTCAAGCCAATGGAGGCAAACAAATAATGTTAACCCTGAGCATTTGATATAGGACATGGTAAGAAATTAGCAGTGAACCAAGCAATGAGCTGCTTGTGGACCATTACATGAACTATCAAATGGACACCAGTGAATTCAACAAAAATTATAAAAAGAAAACACCCCCAGTCACAGAGTCTGTCTGGCATTTGAAGGAAAAGCTACTGGTTACATTTCCTAAAGTTTTCTTTCTCTTTCCAGAAGACATAGGATTATGTTCCTACAACAAAAACACTAATGTACTTATCTTATCATGAAGCCCTTCTTGTGTTATACAAACAGACCTATAGCATGTATTTTTTAATATATGATTAAAATTTGTTCAGTAAATATTTGAGTATATAGAACAGGAGAGTGAGTCTAGGTCATTGTTCTGTCTATCCATGCAATCACCTTTCTACCTCGTGATAATACTAATTATTACAAATCTGTAAAAATTTATCTTCTTGGAGCATTTACTCTTTGGTCTTCATCCAAAAGCCACTTTGAGTCACCTAGAGACATAAAGCGAGTATAACTATAATGATGATGATATGATGATAAAGCTTCCAGAGCAACATACAGAGTAATAAAAGCAAGCCACAGTCTTGCACTCTAAAAGTACATGGAAAAGAATGGAAAGAGATCAGAAGGGGTTTAAAGCAGTGGTTCTCAATCTGTGGGTCCCCAGGTTTTTTGGTCTACAACTCCCAGAAATCCCAGCCAGTTTACCAGCTACTAGGATTTCTGGGAGTTGAAGGCCAAAACATCTGGGAATCCACAGATTGAGAACCACTGATTTAAAGGAAAACAAGAAATCTCAAGTACCAGATCTTAATTGTTATGTAGTTTTAAGATGGCTAGTAGTGACTAATATAGACTAGTAAAAGAAACAAGCAATAAGAGATCAGAATAGTAATATGAACTTTTTTAATCTATCTTCAGAATGTATCAGAAGATTCCTTAACCAAGAACTATTAGTGTATGTCATTGGCAGTATTTCAAAAGTGAACAAGAAAATTGCTCATTTAGAACTGGGACTGAAAAGATATGACAGTAGCGATGTAGTAAGTGTCATTGAAACATACTGTGTAAGAAATCTCAAGGTTTTCTAATTCTTTTTTTTTCAGGCAAAGTATGGTTGTTTTTTTGTTTTGTTTTTTTAGTTTCTTAGCCTTTCTGAACAAGTGGAAATTAATGTCATATTGTTAAGTGGAAGAGAAGTCAAATGTTGGTATCTTTGTAGTTGCGTGGTTCTAGCATATGTTACCTTTTCACCAAGTACCCTATATCTAAATACTCCAAGGTTTTGCACATGCATGTACAGGAAGCAAAATTAGATGTCAGGTAAAGGTGGTGTCCATCTTTTTATATCAGTCAGTTTTCAAACAAAATCCAGCAGATTATTATCAGATTATACATACTGTGCTCATCTTGTAGACATGCATGCTTTTTTAAGCTTGACCAAAAGAAAAAATGTTTGAAAGTGCAAAATTGAGGACATGGTTTCAGCTAAGATGATTTTAATGGAAGAAGTTTTAGTATTTTCATTTTTCATTTTAAATCAGTGGCCTTTAACAGTCCTTTAGTGGTGTCCAGTGTATGTACAGTATGAACGAAGCACTTATATTTTTAATTTAAACCCCAAATTTCTTGAACAGCTTGTTCAAGGGGAGCGGGGAAATGGGAATGTAGTGGGAAAAATGTAGGAAGTGTGAAAGAAAGAAAAAAGAAGAAATGGGTGTGTGGTGTCATTTTATTCATATTAATTCAGATGTGAGCTCACTGTTCTCAATTTCCTGGTTATATCTAGTTAGAATTACAGCCTCCTTGCTGGACGAGGATTATACTGTGACAATCCTGAAAATTTCTTGGCCTTGGATAGGATTTCATGTAACAAGAATTAGAAAACAACAAGACAATTAATATCTTTCTATGGACAAATCTACCGCTTAAGTCAGTTTCAAACTGGTATTGGTGAAAGTGGTTTCTCTGTACAAATGATCACCATACATAGAAAATCCTGGAACCGGTTTGAGACCTGGATGGTGGTTACATAAACCATGGAGCCCTAATGCACATTGAGGGCTTTCGTTCATGTGTTTTTGTGGGCATGTCTAGCTACTGCAGTTTCAAACCAGTTTTGAACTGCATTAAATGGTCAGTGTAGGTCGGACCTATATACCTTTGCTTTTCCAATCTGCCACAAAGATGTTGCTTTCTAGTAGTTTATAGAAAATTAGCGTGTAACCATCCTTGTCTCTTACTTTGTCTTTCAAGGTGATTGATGATACAGCACTGAAAAAACGTGCCCTGAAAAGGGGTGTTAAAAAAGGGAAAGGGGTGAGCAAAATAACAGGTAAGCATAACTACATTTGACAATGAAACATTGCTCTAAAATCTTCCAAAGTTGTAATTATAATATAATATTAAGTTCTAATTTCCCAGCTTGTCATTGGCTCAATTCAGATGTCATACAGGTTTGCGGTTTGTACTAAACATACTATAGTTTGAACTTCTTTCCCTGCAGAAGGCAAATTTTTGCTTTAGAGTTGTTTGTCTGCCTTCCTGACCCATCTTCACATAATAGACTTCTGTGTACATTGCTGCCAGTATGCTGATGACACCAAACTCTTCCTTCAATCCAAAACCAATTCTAAACCAATTTCTTTTGTCAGTAGTGAGAATTAATAAATTTACAATTAGTCCAGACAAAATTATGTACTCCATTGGGTTCTGCAGAGAAAATAATTTTATGAAGAATTCTGACACAATATGACAACAGGTGATGGCAAAGTACATCACATTTCCTGCAAGCTTGCATAGCTTAAGATATGCTGGTAATACCAAACTATAGTTTTATATCTGAATGCAAATAAATTCCTCATTCAAACACATCCTGAGTTTATGTACCAGGGTGTAAATCCCATTTTACATGATCATACTTGCTACCGACACCACAAGTTTCACATTGTAGTGTAAACATCTAGATTACTTCACTTAAATGAGATACAATGGCTTGCATTAAAGGTTTACCTTCAACACAAATTATGACAGTTTGTAGATACAAGTAGACCTCAGTTAATGAGGTAAATGTATTCCTTGAGTCCACTTCTTTAACAGTAACATATGTAGAAATAACATGAAAGAACAGGAATAGGTTGCTAATTTTCTTCAAAATTACGGTAACAATATACATTTGAGAAATGAAACAACCAGATCTAGTAAACCTTGCACAAATAACTAAAAACATTCTAGAAAAAAATTGAAAGCTTCTTCCAAAATGCATCTTGGATTGATTCTTTCCCCTTCATCAGCCTCCATTTTTCTTATGATTTTTTTTTTGATGATTAGGTAAAGGTTTCCCCTTGACATTGAGTCTAGTCGGGTCAGACTCTGGAGGGTGGTGCTCATCTCCATTTCTAAGCCAAAGAGCCAGGGTTGTCCGTAGACACCTGCAGGGTCATGTGGCCAGCATGACTGCATGGAACACTGTTACCTTTCTGCTGGAGCAGTACCTTTTGATTTACTCACATTTGCATGTTTTCGAACTGCTACGTTGGCAGAAGCTGGGGCTAACAGTGGGAGCTCACCCCGCTTTCCAGATTCGAATCACCGAACTTTCGGTCAGTAAGTTCAGCAGCTCGGGTGTTTAACCTGCTGCACCACTGGGGGCTCAGATGATTATGCTTTTTCAGTATTCAAGTATAGCTGGTGTGGCATACTAATCTGCTTTCCCTTGTTCTTTCTGTTTTGCTTTTCACACATGCTCAGGAAATAATTCTGGAGATAGCAGTTTATCTCACTTGTACACAACCACACACAGTTACAATAGGTTAGCCTAGAGTAGAAAGTCTTTCTGAGACCAAGCTTTATTGCACACTTTACTGCAGACATACTGCTGCAACTCAAGAATGAAAGTCTATTTTTCTTCAGGCTTCCTTCATCACCCTTCCAATGCCAATATTGTAGAAAACTTCCAGAAGAGCGGAAAAGAGGGGCTGGAGTAGGCTCCCATCAAAAGGGTGTAAAAAGAGCTTCATTGTCCGAGAGTTGTTAATTGCGATATACCCGTATAAGCAACATTTTTAATTAGCATTTTGCAGATGGTGAATAATTTCAAACCACAATCCCAGTTTTTTCACTTAACAATTCCATTGCTATAACTGGAGATCCTATTCATATACTCAGTGTGGCTACCTTTTACTTAATTTACAGAGAAAGACCAGAAGGGGACACAAAAGTTGAGTAGCCATAGCTCAGAAACTAATTCTCCAATATCTCCAAGAAAAATTGCTCTTAAAAAGGTACGGTACTATTTTGGGTTTCAGGAGTCCTTTGCTTTTGTGCATATTTGGGTTAGCATGATTCAAAATGATCATAGACTTTGAGCTCAGAATGATGTGAATATTCATTGAAGAAGCCATGCTGGATCAGACTGCTTTAAACGTTTCTATCATTACTGCTGCATTTGTGTCGTATTCGTAGTTAGCATTCCCATAGTGCCCTTCTTGCTCTGTTGGAATAACATTGCTATTAAATGGAGAGAAAACAGATAGTACAAGTGTTGCTTGAGCTCCTGGTATTTGTATCTATAGTTCTTGGCTGTTGTACACATGCTCAATTGGAAAGATGATACTGAATTTAATGCTTTCTAGAGCAGTCATGGCCCCAGATGAGCCCCCGGTGGCGCAGTGGGTTAAACCCCTGTGCCGGCAGGACTGAAGACCCACAGGTCGCAGGTTTGAGTCCGGGGAGAGGCGGATGAGTTCCCTCTTACCAGCTTCAGCTCCTCATGCAGGGACATGGGACAAGCCTCCCACAAGGATGATAAAAACATCAAATCATCCTGGCGTCCCCTGGGCAATGTCCTTGCAGACGGCCAATTCTCTCACACCAGAAGCGACTTGCAGTTTCTCAAGTCACTCCTGACACGACAAAAAAAAATGGCCCCAAATTTGTAAGTGATAAAGAACAACCTGATGGTGCAGAAAACATAAACAGAGTATTCATTTTTTTCCTGGAAATTCTTCCACAGTAGAATCCCACAAATACTGGAACGTCAAGAGATTGAAGTTGGCTTGCTTTTTGCATTGGAATGTGAGTCTTTTACATTGCTCATCCATTATTTGCCTTTAGGTTATGGTCGAAACAGATAAACTGGTGGAGTTATTTGAGTACCCAGGATACTCTCATGAAGAAACAACACCACTGCCAAATGGGGTAGAGCTAGATGACATTTTGGAGAAGGTGATTCGGGCCCAGAGAAAAACATCAGTTGCCCAGGTATGTTGCTATCCTCAACTCTCCTGGTATGTGACAATCTAGAAGGGCTAGGAAGGATGGGTGAATTGTGTATGGGTGTGCATGCTTTTGTATGTATGCATATGTTTGTGCTCATGTCTGTCCACCTAGCACATCTTTTTTTCTGACTGAGTACTCCAGACATTGCTAAATGGCTATATTTAGAGACCTTTTTCATTAAAAGGTTACTTGTCCCACACCTGCTTGGAGGAAAACCTTACAATTCAGGTTGCAAGAACCCAAACATCATGTAATCCAGGGATGGACAAACTTCGGCCCTCCAGGTGTTTTGGACTTCAACTTTCACAGTGCCTAACAGCCAGTAGGCTGTTAGGATTTGTAAGAGTTGAAGTCCGAAACACACGGAGGGCCGAAATTTGCCTAAACCTGATGTAACCCAATTCCCGTGGCACTGCTGCACTCATTGATAGAAGGGGGGGGGGGGGGAGCAAAAGAAAGTGCCATAGTTTATTGACTGAACAACAGCAATGTGTGTGTGTTCCCCCTTCTCTTCCAGTCTTCTTTCTTTATACTGCAATTCAAAACTCCCGTTGTTTGTTAAAGCACAGTTTGTTATTACACCCAAAGTAGAAAACTGTAGTCTAATATCAGAATATGAAATCAAGAGAGAGAGAGATACCTTTATTGGCTTATGGTTCAAGACTGGATCAATTTCCAGTTTGAATGTAATAAGAAAGGATAGTTAGCAAAAACTCCAGTTGATATTTTTAATTGCATTGCAAGAGGGAGTGAAAGAGGGTGCACAAATCACTAAATCATTACTTCTTAGTGGGCAGTGTTTGGGATCCTGACCTCATTGGTCCATGTTGTACCCTTTTCAGACTGTATAAGTGTCCAGAAGTAGTAGAGCCCAATACAATTATTAGACTGAAATCAACATATCTGAATTGTGCTTGTGAGTTTTAAATGTTCCTGACAGTCACAAACCCTGGATTCACATTCTGGCTTCTTAAGTTACTCTGCATCTTATTTAAATTGGAGTGCTGTCATTTAAAGTGATCTAATCTTACTAGTTGACTCCTCTAATGAAATTTGATTGCATTGTGGATGAAAAAGATACGGACTGGGAAGTGAAGAAAACTATTTCCATTGCTGTTTTATAAATAAAATTTCTGTAAAAATGTTGTTTGATTTCTTTACAGACAAGCTGGTCACTGAAAATGCTGCGCAAGTTTCTCAGTGCTCCATGCATCCGAGCTATTGTGCTGGACAGTTTCTGGTGGCAGTTTCTACAACTGTATCGTGTAAGAAAACAGCTGAAAATGGGTTTTGGCAAATTCTTTTGGTCATACCTTTTCACTTCTGTTTCTATAAGCTTTTGACAGCTCTGAATTTCTCAGAATGATGCATTTAGTTCCACTAAAACTTTTAAATGTCAACCAATGAAAGAGTGAGGATGGAAATGAAGGCCTGACTTTTATTCTTAGCTCCAACTAGATTAGGGGCATAGAATCATCTTTCAAAATTAATTCAGTGGATATACTCGAATTAGACTAATACCTGGATTTAGGTCGCATATAACAACTTATCCTATATACTCATGTATAAGTCTAAAGATTTTAGTAAAAAAGATCAAACTGAAATCCTGGGTTGACTTATGCACAAGTCAATATGAGTACTGTACTAAAAAGGAACTATGCCCTTCTCTGAGGAGAGTAGCAAAAGGCAAGAGCTTAGACAATGTTGTGAATATTTACTCAGTTCACTTTAAATGCCTTATATTTCCATTAAAGTTCTTTTGCACCATGATTGTTTCTGATTTTGGTCTTAAAATGTGCAAATAGCTAGGCCAGGGACAACAAGGTGCAAAATGGAACTATTTATTTATTTATTTATTATATTTTAGCCCACCATTCTACCAAGAAATTCAAAATAACCCTTTGTATTCACAACAATCATGTAGAAAGTAGAAAGAAATAATAGATTACAAAAGTAAGGCCTTAAGTGAATGTCTAGACCAGTGATTCTCAACTTGTGGGTCCCCAGGTTTTTTGGCCTATAACTCCCAGAAATCCCAGCCAGTTTACCAACTGTTAGGATTTCTGAGAATTGAAGGCCAAAACATCTGGGGACCCACAGGTTGAGAACCACTTGTCTAGACATTCTTTTCAAATCAGCAGCATATTTGACATCTGTTATTCATATTCTACCCTTTTCTCCCTACAGTCCAGGAAAGTATAACATTGATGTTCCTATGCTGCTGTTTAAAACATTATTTTTTAAATAACAACTTAGGAATATTAGTACTGAAATATAGCTACATTTATTTAAAAAGGCAGGGATATAGAATAGAGATTAATTGTATTTATTAAAATGTGTGGAGACAGGACAGATTTGGCCTGTAACTAAAACATTACTGTGGTCGCTGTATTAACATTTTTGGGATACCTAAGTCCATGCAGTTGAATACTCATATAGCATTTGCATTTTTAATAGTGCTATACAGCAGACTAGAAACCACACAATGTTTTTCAGTACTGAAGAACTGTAATCTCTGCAGTAAACTCCAGTGAATGGTCTCAGCAGCTGCATTTTGATCCAGTTGAAGTTTCAGATAGACTGCCCCATTTATCAGTACATGTTCACTTATAATAGGCTGCTTCTATTGAGCCCCCATCACCATGGCATGCTAAGTAAAAAGATATGCCTCTTTGTTAACCTTTCCATTTATTTCTCTCTCAATAGCCAAATAAAGAGATTCAAGGACATTTATTCGAACGCATTGCAGAAAATTATTCCCGCATTCTCTTGGGCTGCCACAAGGTTTCCAACCGGGAACACATCCTTATAGTAAGTATGTACACATCTGAAAACAGATGAGACAGGTATTAGACTTCATACAAGGAAGTGGCATTGGATAGCCTTGTGAAGAAAACACATTACCTTCAGCATGTTGTGATGCTTTCATTTAGAGCTTGTAAATACTGGAAGAACTTTGAAGTATGGCAAACTTCTGATTCCTAAGTTATGCTTCTTTCTCTTGTATATACTCAAAATGTATACTGGAGATATGAAGAAAGTGGGAGTTGCTCAATCAACTTGCCCCAGCAAATCTTTCCCAGGTTATTAAGCCTACAAACAGTATTGAACATTCTACAATTTAGCAATTTATACTTTCCCTGCCCTCCCCAGTCTGCTGGGATTCACTGGTTCTCTGCATGAACTGAAAGTATGATGAATCATGCACAGTAATCTTGTGTTGATGGATAAGATAGGTAACAAATAATAATAATAATAATAATAATAATAATAATAATAATAATCTGACACCTAGGGCTTCTGAAATACAGTTTGGAAAAGCAGCAGCAACAACCATATTGGTTTGGGTCTTTGAATAATGAACACAAAGTTGCTGGAAGAGTTTTGACAGATCTTTTCTCTTTCTCTCTTTGCTTGAAACTTTAGTTTTTCCCATCAATATTGAGTCAAGCTGTGTATACCTGCTTCTGCTACTGTTTCTCAAGGTCCTGGTTCAATACCCCAGAATTCAAGGCCCAGCTCTGTGATGTATTCTCTGAGTGGTTTGGAGGTGAGATGGCCTTCTTCTCTATGATCAGTGAATGGAGTGCTTGAAGAATTTCCTATTCCAGACTCTTTAAAAAGCACAGCATCTCATTCACATCCTAAGAATCTTATAATCTTAGAGGAGACCAAACCAAACCCCATGGGATACCAAGAGTCCATTGTAAATATTTTGCTACTCACTCTCAAAACTTTCTTCTAATTTCCCCTATAATATAGGCGTCCGACATGCTCCAGGGAGCTACAAGAAATGGAATTACTCCAAACTGGAACCAGAGCGGTCTAGGAGAGAAAATTTGCTCTCAGGAAAGGCACAGTTGAGGACTGGTAAGAGATCCCCCCACCCCAAATAGCCTCCTTTTGCAGTACAATTGTAATAAAACTTAAGTTTACTAATTTAAACAAAAGGACCTGTCTTAAAGACATAGGGGACAGGGCAAGTATTTGGCAATGAAAACAGAAAATTACCAATAAATTTCATGGCACAACACACATTATGTACATTGCAGGTATTTTACATTTGATATGGTCTGTGCTAAGTGGAGTATTTTCCTCTAACAACCATGAAATTCTGAACATTTATCCAGTGAAAATTACCTGCAGAACTAGATCATAACAATCGACATGTCTCTTTTATTTCCATAGGCAGCGCTGTTTCCTTTACTAGTGACACATTTTCTCGTGCTTTGCAATTCCAAAAGGTAAACAGTGACCATTGGAATGGCCCGGATTACGCTCGTGGATTACTTTTTAACTCTTAATCTATTGTTTTTAAATGTTTTAATTGTGTTAATGTACTTTTAAATTCTATTTTAATATTTATTTAAGTGTACATTGTGTTTTAGGGCATCCAATTGTTGCCTGTATGTAATGCCGCCTTGAGTCCCCTCTGGAGTGAGAAAGGCGGGGTAGAAATGGCGTAAATAAATAAATAAATAAATGGATTTTCACACACTTGTGCTGGAGATATGGCTATTAATATAAGCCTTGGGATACATTCTATATATGCCTTGGAGAATAGGAAGATCTTGCCTGAGTATCAAGAATTTGGATTCATATCAATGACCCTCTCCCCAAATAATGCTATTATTTTAAGAAAATTTTGCACTTAGCCATTGCTGTTAACTTGCTTTAGCCAGAGGCAGAGCAGGATAAATAGTGTTCATTGATCCACTTATACAGAGTGAGGCAGCATAACTTCCTTTTTTAAAATGCGTGCCATTCAGTCGGTTGAAGACGTAGCGGAGCACTAGTGGTCTCGTTCGAGAGGCAGGAGTATAAAGTTTTGTCCTGACACAGTTCAATCGCCATCATGTGTTGGAACAGTGAGGAATGTGCTTTTGCCGTTGAGGCCTACTTTTCGAGCGGATTTGGAGTGGCCGGCCTGCTCTCCAGATTTGGCCCCTTGTGATTTTTTTCTATGGGGTTTTTTGAAATACTGTGTTTATGTGAACCGTCCAAGGACCCTACAAGATTTGAAGACCAACATCCAAGAAGAAATTGCCAACATAACGCCTGCTATGCTGGCAAGAGTCATGACAAACGCCAGAAATCGGTTTACTCGCCTACCTAATTTGATCTTCAAAACAAAACTTTAGGTATGCGCCTACATTATAAAAAAAAATCTGATTCATACAATGGGTTTTATTAAGTTTTGAAAAAAGGAAGTTATGCTGCCTCACCCTGTATTAGCCAATGTTCACATAGTCCTTTGAAAAGAAAAATGAATCTTGAGTAGTACATGTTACTGTGTGCTTCATGAACTGACACAACACAATCTGTATTATGCCAGTCCACAAACCACACTTCTCCAGATTCACTATTGCCTCCCACTGTAACCAAGACAAAATATTGCATATAATATGATATAAAATATTTCCGTTTTCTTTTGGTTTAGAGGGGCAGATCTCCAGGGAAGTCCACTAAAATGACCAAGAGAACACCTTCTGGGCAAAAAAATCAGCATCCCAAAAAAGGTACCACATTTACAAGTAAAGTATTATATTCAGAGTGGCCTATAAAAGAGTCATCCACAACATTCCCCCCAGCTAATATAGAAGCATTGATTTAATGTATTTTCTTCAGATTTGAACATTGTCAGATTTTACACTAACTAAAGCATATCCATGTTTTGAAAAATGAAAAGGAACCTGAATCAATTGGTTGGGTTTGCTATACCAATGAAGGTAATATTATGCAGCTATTCCATGTTAGAAATAAATGGACTTGCTTTAAGGGTAGTATAGAACATCTTCAGGTTCCCATGGAACAATAAATCCTTGCTATGATTTAATTAAAGGTTCAGTTAAAGACTCCAAGGTGGTAAGAGTTGGTTTGATTACTTCTTTATATCTTAAAAAAATATAACTTTTGATGAATCTGAAACTAGTCCTGTACAGAATGGAAGTGTATTTCATATATGTTGTCTAGTTGGGCATTTATTTTGGGAGAAAAAAAAATCAAATAACCTGTGTAGCCCAGGTTTTTCCCAACCTCAGAGTGAACTTTTTTATTTATTTGTTTTTCTGATAAAACAAAGGATGTATGATGACAGGTATCAGAAGGTAGTTTGTGGGAAGAACTTTTTTATCTCTATTTACTGCAGATAATCAAGGTATTTGGCAAAAGGGATTATCTATTATGTCATTTATCTTTCAGGTAATATTAAGAAAAACTGATTTGAAATCTGGAGCTCACATAAATTCTATCTCAACCCATTCCTTGTATTTATCTTTATTGATTAATGGGAGAGATTTTTTCAACTGAAATGTATATGGTATTTGTAATCCTCCATCCAACGATTTTCTATATATTAAGGATGTTTGAACTTGGTCCATGTAAGGATATTTGTTTTGATTTGTTGCATAACATTTCTGAAATTTATTTTTTTATTTAGCGATAAAGACTTAAACATTTGTGTGGTAACTTTAAGCCTTATATTTATTTAAATTCTTACAGCACAATTGACTAACATATCAAAATAGTGGGATTTTTTTTTCAGAAGAAGATGCCTTTTCTAAATGTGTGTCAAGTGATTACTACCTTAAAGAAGATGAGCAGAAGGATTCATGGACCAAACAGCAGAGCTCACAAAAAACGAAGAAACTGAAGATTTCTTTGATTCCTCGAGAGGTAATTCTAGACCTTTGTGACAATTCTTATCTCAACTGATTATTTGGCCCTTAAACTACTTTCTAAAACAGAATGTTTTTTTATCTCACAATCTGGCCAAACATCCAAATGAGTTCTGGATATATTTTTTTTGTATGGCTGTCTCCAACTAGCAGCTTTGCATTGGAACTGATGGAGAAGTTAGGATGATCTGAACTTATTGGTGGAAGGTTACAAAGGCCAGCAGGTCATGCGATCATTCGCCACTGAATGTGGATGTTTGCAAATCAGTATACTAGTATATCAGCATTAGCACACCTCTACATAACATGATGCTTCAAGAAACCTTAGGCAGATATACATATATTTGCATGCTTGAGGGGGGAAAAACAAAGTAGTCACGGCCATGCAGCCACCAATAATGCAAATGAGAAGAGTTTTTCTCAGGCAAACGCAAATCAAGGCGACAACTGTGGTTGCTTAAGACAAATCTGATAAATTCCCTTTCATGTCAAATCATATAGTACAATTATCTGTTATTATCAAAGAAAACCATTGGATATCAAATTCTAATGACTATTTTAATGTTAAACATTAAGTATTCAAACTTCTGGAATATATTTTCCATCAACATTTTTAGAAGATTTTAAAGAAGTGACTCCAGAAATCTCAAGTTATCAAAGCTTTCCCAGATACCTATTATTTGAGTATTTCCCCATATTCCGTCCACTGCTCCAAGCTGAGCCTACATCAGATTTCTGAGGCATATAAACAATTTCATTAAATGGCCAGACTAAAACAAGAAATCACCAGTGGTTCACACAAATTTAAATGTATTATTTAATTCGTAAAAAGATTTCACCCATGATGAAAGTTTTTTTAGCTGTAAAATGCTGTATTCCCAAATATGTTTTTTTAATGTAAGTGACAATTATTCTCATTTATCTTGTAGTCACACCCAGCCTGTCCCGGTCCTGAATTCGTCTGGCATCGCTTTAATATTGGTGGACGCAGCCCATTAATTGAACGCTTTCTTGAAAAACGACATGCTCTGTCAAAGGGAGGATGTGAGATCTTCTTGCCTAGGCGGGAAATCTGCAAGCCAATACCATATCTTTATGGCGTACATAGGGAAAATGAGGATGGAGATTCAATGACTTTAGTGGTCCATTCAAGTTAAATGGAAATGCAAGCAAAGTGAAGGAAGAGTTGGATTTCTTAGTCCTGTGTTTGTGGTCTTAAGTAGTAAGATATAAGACCTTGCCCTGAACCTTCATGGTCTGCATTACATTTGACTGTTTAATAGCAAAGGCCACAATCTACTGCTCAGTTAAGCTAATTGAAGTCTATTGATTTCAATCGGGTTTTAAATCTGTGTAAAATTTAGTTAACTATTTGCTACTATATTCAGATATCATTCCCTTCTAGAGTATATACACAGCTTCATTGGGACTTAAATAAACGTTGACTTAACTAGTCCCATCCATTGGGTTTAGTGTTTGAAATATTTGCCTAACCAAACCCTTAATCAAGACTGTACAGGCAGTTTCCAAGTTATGAACAAGATAGGTTCTGTTCTTAAATTGAATTTGTTTGTCAGTCAGAACAGGTACATTTTTAAGTGTAACTCCAGATAGGTGGGTAGGTAGGTAGGTAGATTCGAGCTTTGGAAAGCACGGGAGGGTTAACACCCCTGTGGAGTTTGTTTTGCTGTCTGTGCCCCTGTTCAGAAGATTTCACCTCACTTTCTGGCTTGTTCTGTATTGGTGATAAAGCTTCAGTGAAGACCCCTTTCCCCCATAACTCTTCCAGGAGTGAATGTCCCTTCAAAGGGGCAAATTTCTCTCACTTCCTGTTGTGTCACCCCCATTTGTAACTATGAGCCATTTGCAAGTCAAGTGTTTGTAACTCAGGGTCTGGCTGTATTTATGTGTATATTAAATACCTAGACATAATTTTCTATATTGGTAGGGCTGACATTTTACTAAGTTTTATTTTGTTACATTGCTTTTGTTTTTTAAAATCTAAGAATTGCTTTCTGTGATAATTGGAGTAGAATTTTCCTTATACACCAAAAACACAGAGTCTGCTCAGACTTATGCGGAAGTGGTCAAGGAAGGTTTTAATATGCTCTGCCAGAGGCACAAGGCGTTCAGAAGGACATATCTGAAAAATCGGAAGGAAATGAGGAGTTTTGATAAACAGTTTAAGGCTAACCAAGAACTTTTCAGGTATTAAAAGAGGTTTCTGAGCATTTTTTCTGGCATCCCCATCTCAAATGAGGGAAATAGGAGGACTCCCAAAGGCCTTCCCATTATCATCCTCTTCTACACTATTCAAATGTAAATGGTTGTGGCAGCTAATTATCTTAATTTGATAATTCAGTTTATCTGTCCTTTTTATGTTTGTATTATTTTTACACTGGAATGACCAGAAAAAGTTAAATTTCTTTGTGTATTTATTGTGCACAGCCCATAACTTGTTCCTCTGCTGCTGCTGTTGTGTTTTCCAGTTTCTTCCAACTTACAATGACCCTAAAGGGAATAAGTTTTGGGGTTTTCTGGAGCTGAGAGTATGTGACACATCCAATGTCACACAGTGGATTTCATGGCCAAGCAGGGAATAAAACCCAGGTCTCTAGAGTCAAAATCCAGTGCTGAAATCATTATACCATTTTATCTCACTGTTTTCCCTCTACATTATATGGTTTTGTACAGTTCTAGCATTTTCCCAGCATTTGAAAAAAATTCAATATGAAAACTTTTAAAGAGAATGCATGTACAAATCCACAACTTTCCCTCCACTTGCTTCCACAAGTAATCAGAACCTGGGATTCTGTTTAGTTGTCGTGTTCTTCATCCTTCTCCCTTTTTCTTAAGCTTCAAGGGACTTCAGGTGTAATAAATTTTATCTTTTCTTTGTTGCTTCTGCAGGCAAGAGATGCAGGAAGAGATAAAAAGAAGACAGGCCCAAAAGCAGAAAGAGTCATTCACTGCAGAAGCACTGGCTAGTTCAGAAAAGATTACAACCCATTTCTCAAAAGTCTCCTTTGTGTTACAATAGTTTGATGTATATGGCCTGTAACACTTCTTAATTCCTATTTTGAATTGAATTAAAGTATCCCTGATTAAAATCAGATTGTAAATATTTGAGATTGGTTTTTGTAAATTAATTTTAGTCTTAATTTATAGAAAGAATATATTTTTAAAAGATTTTATATAAATATATTGCTGATTTGAAACATTCGTTCCCCAAAGACAATATAAGATGGTGCTCTCAAACTGTAGTTGATATGTGGTTTCATTAAGAATCAAAATTCTAAAAAAGCCCAAGAAAAAAATGTTGCCAGCATTTTTGAGGAATCAATGGCACCTTATGTTTCTTATGTCAAAATGTGTTTACTCTGGAAAGGTACCTTACCATACTTTTTAACTTCTAATTCTGCTTCTGTTTCAGAAAATTATGCCTTCTTCGTATTTTCCTTTGCCACAGAAACAGTTCATTTTTAAAAAACAAAGATAGTCTATGGTGGTATACAAGTTATGACATACATAGTTTTTAAAAATCTCAAATATTCTTTCAAAAACATTTTTTCACACATACCATATATTATGCTCATGTAAAACCATTTTTGATTCATTGAAACAATCTTAAATTGTCAGTACAGCAGAGTCTCACTTATCCAACCTTCTCTTATCCAACGTTCTGTATTATCCAACCCAGTCTGCCTCCCGCCCGGATCCACAACTGTTTCAATACATTACGATGTTTTGATGCTAAATTCGTAAATACAGTAATTACTACATAACATTACCATGTATTGAACTGCTTTTTCTGTCACTTTGTTGTAAAACATGGTGTTTTGCTGCTTAATCTATAAAATCATTACGTAATTTGACATTTAATAGGCTTTTCCCTAATCCCTCCTTATTATCCAACATTTTTGCTTATTCAATGTTCTGCTGGCCAGTTTATGTTGGATAAGCGAGACGCTACTGTATATGCCATATATAGAGAATTATAAAACTAAACACGACACTGCTTCAGTTCAAAGGAACTTTATATTCCCTACAAAAATGTATTTTGGGGGATCTTTTTGATTAGCGAACACTTAAACTCTGAAGTAAGATTTAGTCCATTGTTTGTGAAAACATGCATTCTCTTCAAGACTACGTTTACAGTTTATGATTTACCACAGGTTGATTTTTGTTTTTCCATTTGGAAATATAAACATCCGTTCTTGTACCTGCAAAGTATAATCTTTTGCAGAATTTAGCACTGGCATAGATGGTCATCAGCACAGAATTCATATCTCTTTTTTCAAGTGTCTCTCCTATGTCTTCAGGATTTGAAACAACAATGTAAAGGTAATTCATAAAAAGTGAAAATAAATTCTTTCAAACAAAACTCCCAGTCCTTTCACAGTTTCTTTTTCAAATATTTGAGAGGACACAGGCTAAACATTTCTCTCACACACACACTCTTCTGATGTGCTGAGAGGAGCATGTGTTTGCACTGATACACATAGGAACTAGAACCATCGAATTATAGATTTGTAGGGAACCACAAGAGTCTGTTAACCCAACCCATTGCCATGCAGGAACCCATAGTTAAACCACAAAGGGAAATGGTAACCCTATTTTAAATTGGCATGTTTAATTAATTGCTTTTTAATTAACTGTTTTAATGTTTTAATTGTATTTGTTGAATGTTTATGTGAAAGCACCGATCGTGCTTGTTGTGAGGCTGCCCCGAGTCCCCCTTCGGGGGGTGATAAGGGCGGGTTATAAATGCAGGAAATAAATAAATAAATAAACCACAGTAAAGGAAAATCTATCCTCTGGAGTATGGTATCCTTTATATAATCATCAACATCATCATCATCTCCCAAAAGGGCCTTGGGGCGGCTTACAAGGCACTCCAAAGATAGTATATAATATAAACAGTACATGAGTATAAAAACAATTATCACATAAAATTTATAAAACTACCACTATTAACACATAAAATAAAATAAAAACACAGTTTCAAATGCCGACAATCTGTAGTTAAAACTAGCTGCCTTCTAATCACAACTGTCAATACTGTCAAAGAGATTCTCTTGATTTGTGTTGTCGAAGGCTTTCATGGTCTGAATCACTGGGTTGCTGTGAGTTTTCCGGCCTGTATGGCCATGTTCCAGAAGCATTCTCTCCTGACATTTTGCCCACATCTATGGCAGGCATCTGCAGAAGTTGTGAGGTCTGTTGGAAACTAGAAAAATGGGGTTTATATATCTGTGGAATGTCCAGGGTGAGAGAAAGAACTCTTGTCTGTTTGAGGCAAGTGTGAATGTTTCAATTGACCACCTTAATTAGCATTTAATGGCCTTGTAGCTTCAAAGCCTCACTTGCTGCCTGGGGGAATCTTTTGTTGGCAGGGTGTTAGCTAGCCCTGATTGTTTCCTGTCTGGAATTCCCGTGTTTGAATGTTGTTCTTTATTTACCGTCCTGATTTTAGAGTTTTTAAAATACTGGGAGCCAGACTTTGTTCATTTACATGGTTTTCTCCTTTCTGTTGAAATTGTCCGCATGCTTGTGGATTTCAGTGGCTTCTCTGAGTAGTAGTGTGACATGGTGGTTGTTAGTGTGGTCCAGCAGTTCTGTGTTCTCAAATAATATGCTGTGCCCAGGTTGGTTCATCAACTGCTCCTGATTCTCTTTTCTTGACATTTGAATCCGTTGATCCATGTTCATAGTTTCTTGAGCACCAGAAAAGGAAAATTGCTCCATCTTCTACCTTGGTAATTCAAAGCTGTGAGCCGTGGACCAGTGTTGATGCACAAGCCATCGCCTTTGGTCTCAAGTGTTTCCAGGAAAGGAAGAAACATATTTCCTCCCAACATTCTCTTCTGCAAACTAAACATACTTAGTTGTAGGTTTTTCGGGCTATATGGCGATGTTCTAGAAGCATTCTCTCCTGACGTTTCACCCGCATCTATGGCAAGCATCCTCAGAGGTTGTGAGGTCAATATGAGGAAACATAAAATAGCACTATAGCTTAAATCAAACCAGGTTAATCAGGATTTGTAAATTTTATCCAACAGTGACGGTGTTTTGCTGTGAGAGTATGAAAATATAGACTTAATGGAAATATGTCATTTCTTTCCTTAGTCTTTAGTTCTTATTTTAGGAGGAAAGATTGAGCTTATAAATACAGAATGTTTTGTTAGTCCTTTAAAGGGATTTTTGACATTTCCAAGGAATGAAAAGTAATCCCCTCCTTTGTAAATTAGATAATAAACCACGCTGTATCCTTTGTTCCCATGGTAAATATTTAATAAAGAAAATTCTTGTGCATGTGTACATACCTGTTTTATTTCATTTTGAAAATTTATTTTGAAATTGTAAATTAGAAAAGCAACTCTAATTGCGGCATCTTAGTTTTGTGCTTCACCATAATGTGTCTTTCCACAACTCCATATGCTAACTAAGGGGCTGAGAGTTAATAATGAATTTGTTTATTTTCATAGAAAATCTGTTTATTCAAAAAAACAAAACAAACAAACAAACTATGAATCATTCTGTTTAGGATATTTCATATGTCTTCATTGCTTCACATGTTTATTCACCAAAGCTAGCTGCTGGATCCTCAACAACCTCTGAGGATGCCTGCCATAGATGCAGGTGAAACGTCATGAAAGAATGCTTCTAGAACATGGCCAGATAGCCCGAAAAACCTACAACAACCCAGTGATGCCAGCCATGAAAGCCTTCGACAATACATTAAACATACTTCGTTTCCTTAGGTGTTCCTTTAAGCTTAAGCGGCTGAGAGGGGAAAGGAAGGAGCCTGAGGCTGTTAGGAATGGTGGGAGTTGGAGTCCAAAACACCCGGAGGGCCGAAGTTCGCCCATGCCTGCTATAGAGTCATGCTAGAGGACGTAAAGAAATTGTAGAGAAGTGTTTTCCCGGGTAATATTAGGTCCTGTGCCCCTAACCCTAGTGAACGTGATGGCTTGACACAATACATTTTATCTCCCCTCGCTCCAAAAAAAGGAGATTCAAGGCAGCTCATACCAATACAGATCACAAACAGTCGATACATAATATCTCCTTATTCATTTTTTGTCCAAATATTCCTTTCAGTCAAGATTTTTTGGAGAAAGGCTCGCTTTCTTCTCAGGTCAAGCGGGAGAAGAAGGTAACTCGGCCTAGTCTGGCCTCGTGAGCCTCCTCTCGCTTGAAGCATCAAAGCCCTTTTTCCCCAGCAAATTTTTTTGCTATATTTTCCTTTTGTTTTTATAGCAGTGTCACTGAGTTAAAAAGAGATAGATAGATAGATAGATAGATAGATAGATAGATAGATAGATAGATAGATAGATAGATAGATAGATCACAAATATATGTTGAGAAAGATCTGGGAAAGGTGACTTAATCCCACACTGGAAATAACTAAGGCGTGTCAGAAGACTTTTCCTCATCCTTTGAAAGGTGACTTCCACTGTCATCTGGTGCACATTTTGTGTATCCCGGGGATTTGTTCCTACTATCCTTACGAAGCAAACATAATATATTATTATTGTATCCTCTCAAGTTCTTCTGATCTATGGGAACCCGAAAATTGCCCCATTACAGGGTTTTCTTGGCAAGTTGTTTACCATTGCCTTTCTCTGAGGCTGAGAGAGTGTCACTTGCCTCAGTGAATCTCCATAGCCGAGCAGACAGAATTAATTTGCTTTTCTGCAATACTTGCTGTAACTGTAATTATGTATACATGAGGGGTTTCACACACAGACACAAACTCACCAGAAATATTATATATCAGCCATATTATATATTTGCTGTGGTCCAGTCTGTGTATATGTGCTTTGTGTGTGTATATATTTGTGTATATGTGTGTGTTTGTGTGTATATATGTGGTTTTGAGCATGTGTTGTAATTTTTTAAAAAAATTTTTTGGCTTTTGAAGTCTTTTCTGTGTTTTTATGAGTGGTGGTCACTCGTTGGCCTATTGTGTCCAAATTTGGTGTCAATTCATCCAGTGGTTTTTGAGTGATGTTAAACCCACGAATGGACATTATATTTTTATTTATATAGACTAGCCATCTCCTGCCATGCATTGCTGTGGCCCTGTCTGTGTATATGTGTTTTTGTGTGTGCATATATGTGTGCATATAGGTTTATTTGTGTATATATGCGGTTTTGTGCAAGCGTTGTAATGTATTTTTTTGTTTTTTGGCTTTTTAAGTCTCTTTTGCTGTGTTTTTCAGTGTTTTTATGAGTGACGGTCACTTGTTGATAGGTGTCTTGTGTCCAAATTTGGTGTCAGTTTGTCCATTGGTTTTTGAGTTATGTTTACAGAGGACGTGGTTTAAAAAAGGGAATTTTCAGAGATGTTCCCAATGCCTATATGTCATGATTTACTGCCATATTGGCCTATTTGATCCCACAAACGAACATTACATTTTTATTTATATAGATTGTCAACTCTATAATCTGTATATACTGATGTTATGGCTAAGAGACAGTATTTTGGGCCTATGCAGGTATAACCTTAATATGCATCAGTTAGGCAATCATCTTTAGTAGATGTTACAATTCCTCCTGATCCCTCATCCATTTGTTCTTGTAGCATGGAAGTGTGTTTGTGTGTTGCATGGCCTGTTCTGGACTCCCGAAATTATCCTTCCCTTGTGGACTATGAAGGATGCTGCCTCATAATGCTGAAGTAAAATCCATCTGTCAAGACTTGGTACATGGATTGTAAGGAGCAGGCCATCTTCTCCCTTCCTCAGCAGCAATCCTATTTTCTATTCCTGGGCCTATGTGCCATTGTAATTGTGTAGGTTATGCTTGTAGCTAAATTAATTAAAACTAAATTAAAAATGAGTGTAAACAGATGAGCAGCAACTTCTCCAACTTCAGTTATCCAACATCCTATCTGTTTCTCACATCTGTGCTTTTAATTTTGCATTTTCTGCGTGGAATTCTCTTTATATTTCAGGTCCAATTGGCTATCTTTATGCATTTTAGAAGAGCAAACACCACATAATTTATTTTTTCCACATTTTTTTTTTTGGCTTAAGAAGGCTGAGAGGAGACATGATGGCCATGTATAAATATGCGAAAAGAAGTCATAGGGAAGAGGGAGCAAGCTTGTTTTCTGCTGCCCTGGAGACTAAGACGCAGAACAATGGCTTCAAACTACAAGAAAGGAGATTCCACCTGAACATGAGGAAGAACTTCCTGAGAGAGCTGTTCAGCAGTGGAACTCTCTACCCCGGAGTGTGGTGGAGGCTCCTTCTTTGGAGGCTTTTAAACAGAGGCTGGATGACCATTTGTCGGGGGTGCTTTGAATGCGATTTTCCTACTTCTTGGCAGGGAGTTGGACTGGATGACCCACAAGGTCTCTTCCAACTCTATGAGTCTATGATTCTAAGAATAAACTGGAAGGGGGTTCCCTGTGAAATTCCCCATTTTATCCATCTGAGTCTCAACATCTCTGGTGAAAATTACATGGAAGTGAAATATGTAGTATACCCAATTATATACTGACAAGTGTATCCTAATTCACATACCCTTTAAAAAAAACTTGCTCCACAAAACATCTTGACTACTGGGTTGCTGGGAGTTTTCTCCTGACGTTTCACCTACATCTATGGCAGGCATGCTCAGAGGTTGTGAGGTCTTAACTACTAATCTTACGTCATGGCACTGGATCCTGACATAGACACAATATTTAATCTTTCCTTCTTGATGTGTAATACTGCTGTCCCAGCAGGAAAATAGAATTGCCTTTTGAAAATGATTTTGAAACACCATGAATTCTAGAAAACTGAGAACAATGATGAAACAAGGTCATCTTCAAAAATAGACAGACATGCTCTTTCTCTTTTTCCATTACTATTTCCCACCTTTCAATACTCCAATAATTATTGTTATATCACTTCAGGGAAAATATATTTTGATCTTTTCCAAAAAGGTATTTTGAAACATGATGCGCAGTAGAATTTCTTTTCCTTGATTCAATAACTCTTTTCTTTTCAGCTGTTATCTCACTGAATTGAAGCTGAGTGATTGGGTGACAAGTGTCATCCTACAGGTTCAAGTATGCTATAATTATAAGAGAATGAAACATACTGAAAGTGAAACAGTAACTTTATTTTTGAGATTGTGAAATCTACAATTTTTACTGTCTCGTTTTCTCAAAACAATTTGATTGTCTAGTTTTCGTGTGGGAAGCACTTGGAAACAATGCCATATAAAATCTGCAAGGTTATAGTATCAAATTATCTAGTGATATAGGGAAGAGAGTCTAGCACTTTTCTCTGATAAACTAGTTATTGCTGCTTCAGAGTGAAGGAAATATTGGGGTTCAATGGAAATGTACAACTTTCCCTTATATATATATGGTAATAAGATGCACATTTAATATTGTTTTTAAGTTGTTTTTAAATTGTTTTAAATTGTTTTTAAATTGTGTTAGTTTTTAGCCTGTTCTTGTAAGCCGCTCCGAGCCCCAGGGGAGTGGCGGCATATAAGTTTCAATAATAAATAAATAAATAAATAAATCTGGTTGCAAAAGCTCATTAGTGTGAAGAGTAACTATGTCTCTTACAGCAATAGTTTTGCTTTAAATATGTATTACAAATATTCACAAGTATGGTGAACTGAAAATGAGCCAGATTAATTTCAAAGGCTAATATGCCAAGAACCATTTCTTAAATTTTAACCCTTTATTTAAAAAGGACCTATTAATCTATCTTTCTTTGTCATTGATTCGGAGAGTACTTAGATCAGTGCCAGTCTCAAAATGCACTTCTATTTAAATTGTATTTTATTTAAATTGTATTACTTATTTATTACTGTACAGGGTATTGAATATTGGCCATTTTATGTCTGTGAGCCACCCTAAGTCCCCACGAGGAAATGGGGCAGGATATAATACAGTTTTGTTGTTGTTAGTATACTATTTGTTGATATTTCTTTTTATCTTTATATATGCTAACATTATATAATTGCTTTCTGCAGTACATACTGACATCTTAGAACCACTTCCTTCACAATGAAATCTATGGAAGATCAAGTTGTACAAGAAGAACCAGGATACCAAGATGATGAGGTAAGGGTTCAAAGCTGATCAGCACTTGTTGTCATTGAGGATGCTTCTATCTATACTGAAGGCATAATGAAGTTTGGTAGTGGATTAAAACAAACTTGTTTCAATGTACAGCACCTACACAAACACCCCAGGAATCAGTTTGAGGCTAGAACAGTGGTCACAGTATTCGCTAAATGCGGATCAGAACCGAACCCAGGAACCTCAGTATTTGCGGCTGGAAACGACCAGACAGCCACTGGAGAATGCATGTTTCCCCCATATTTGGCATCCCAAGATTCCAAAAGTATTTAAGTGGAATGTTGATTGACTTTGCCCATTCACACTATACATATTGTAAGTCCAGGCAACTAGAGGGTGATAAGAAGGACTTCCTAACAGATAGAGATTAGCTATCAGACAGCAAAATCCTGTCAATCCTTTGGTCTAAACTTGGGGTGGAGATCCACATCTGTTTCAACCTCAATAGCAAAATAACCAAGCTTCTGGTTGTTTTTTCATATTCCTTCAGGAATCCTTTTTCCAGGATATTGATCTATTACAGAAGCATGGAATAGTAAGTACATTCTAAAGTGTTTCTTTACTAATATGGTCTGTTTTGTGAAAGGATAGCCAATCAAGAGCCACAGGCAAATGTTTAAAATCTTTGACAATTTCAGACCTGTGGAAAGAGTGGCCTGCTTCTCCTTTGGCAGCCTGCTGGATAGATAGAAAGAAAGATGTGGAGGAGATAAAATGGTGTCAGAAAGGAACAAGATTGTGGCAGAAAGTGAGAAAAGGGTGTCAGTTCTGCATACTGCTGCCATTTGCCCCAGGTGCTGAAGTCTTTCATCCCCTAACATATTTTCCTTCTGCCCTGAATGTGTCTCTCCATGATCTCAACAGACAAACATACTATGTGTCACTGTTTAATAAATTACAGATTTTATAGATCCAACATGGCATAGTAGTTTGGAACATGATTAAGACTCTGGAGAACAGGGTTAAAACCCTAAATCAGCACTGAAACCCACATTTTAAGAAACCTCTAAATAAATGTAGTGAAAAAAAACATTGTGACTGATTAATGTTCCAGGAATAACATTCACAGACATCAAGAGTTCAAATCGTATTTTCTTCTTTCATAGAATGTGGCTGATATAAAAAAGTTAAAATCAGTGGGAATTTGTACAATCAAAGGGATTCAAATGACAACAAAACGAGCACTATGCAACGTGAAGGGACTTTCAGAGGCTAAAGTGGAGAAGATAAAAGAGGCTGCCAACAAGCTTATAGTAAGAAAGCTCTATTGCTCATAATGAAGATTATCATCAGTGGTCCTTTGGATGTTAAGAATGTATAATAGTTAATATGCTTAGCAAGCCATTGTAGATTAGAATTGTTGTGGTACTATGGGGTTGAATTTGGACTAGGACTGCGGATATGAAGGGTCTGTGCCTGGCGAGCATTTATACTAACAGCCAGTGTTCCAGAATAAAGAACACACTCACCAGCTGAAGACAGCCAATCTATCCAGGAAGGATGCAAGTAAGGTTGGTGCCAAAAATGTACAAGCATAACATGCAATACAGAGACACGAGGTTTTATACAAGTGTCCTGATTGGCTGGTGCTCTGTTGACGTTGCCGCCTCCAGGTGGGGATTCCTGGTAGAGGAAAGGAGATGGAAGGGAGTTGGCCTGAGGAGGGCCAATCAGTTGTTGGGGTGTGGTTCTCCTGGAGGGCAGCAAGCCCAGGAAAATCTATGTACATATCAGGAAATACAGAAGAGTCTCTGATTGGTTTAATTGTTTTACTCCATGGTGATGAGGAAGTATCCTGAGAAAGGCAAGGGTGAGGAGCCTTAGAACAAAAGATAATGATCTTCAATTAAGCTTTGGATGTTAAATAAAGGAATTTAATGAGTGTATATATCTTGAGTTTTGGTTTCAGCGGACAGCTATCTCTCAGCCTGATAGAACAATCAGCTGAGCAATTATGAGCCCGTAATATCAGATCTAAAATGGAAACTGCCTGCTGATCCCTACATGGACACAATCGATCTTGATTGCCACCTTTATCTAGGGTTTTTTCCCACCCCTAGATATCCAGGGAATTCCCCAGCAGAGTCAGCAAGGAGGTAATGACCCCTGTGGCTGACTCAGGCAGAAGTCATATTATTAATATATTAAATACATATAACGGTAAAAGAGAGGATAAAATATACAAGATAGGTATAGATCTACAAGGTTAGATCCAGTTTATTGAAGGGTTGAAAAAGGATAGATTATTTGAGAGATTTGCTGCTGCAAATCCGATCTGCACATGCATTGATACATATCAATGTATGTCTGTGAACCATTAATAAAAAAGATATTAAAATGAAAAGGGGCTTTTTAAGGGAGGGTCGTGGCTGCTAGTTTGTCTGTCATATGTGCCCTTTGTTGGTGTGGCGGAGATTCAGTGGTGGAGGGGAGGGGAAAATTAATTTCATTCTGGTGCCCTTGGAGAACTATAAATCACCAGAGTGGGGTGTGTGTGTGCTGTGTTCAACAATAGCACTCCGGGATGAAAAATAGTTGCAAATGTCACTACACTTTCTCAGACTGTATATGTACAATTCTTACTTCAAATGTAAGGATTATTGATTCCATACATAGTTCTCAATGGATAGAGAGCTAATTTACTTTGAAAAACAGGTAAAATGAAAACCAAGGCATCTGTTGTATAATTAGATGCATAGACAAAAGGTATACAGAACCTTGCCCAAAATTTCCACTTGATGGTAGTTCTGTTCCTTTTTACTTTAATAATATGACACTATAGTTGTTAATATATTCCACGTGGAATATTTTATGGTTGATAGAACTCTCTCCCATTTTGTTTTGATTTGTTTTGAAGCTAAAAACAGCTGTATCTCATGGCATGTTCACTTTGAAAACAAATACAGTTAATCATTAATTTTAAGATGTATATGGTAAACACACAAAGAAAAATAAATAAATTAATTGGTTCCGAAATTTGAAATGGCTTTCTGATTCGGTTGCAAATGTGAAGATTTATTTCATTGTCTCCTTAAAAAATATTATCAACCAAATTGTCAAGATTATCTGATTCTAAATACATTATGGTTGCAATCTCATGCTTGCAGTCAATGTGATTTACCTCTGAGTAAACATGATTGAAGAAAAGAGTAAGTTTTGATTTAAAGTTCCAGCATTGTTGTATTTTATTAATATGCAAAGGATTTTAAATTTCTTAAATAACAGTGTCTTCTCTTAGGACCCTAATCTGTTTCAACTGCTTTGTGTTCTACACAGGAACCAGGATTTCTAACTGCTTTTGAGTACAGTGAGAAACGGAAGATGGTATTTCATATCAGCACAGGAAGCCAAGAGTTTGAGTTAGTAAACAATAAATACTGTTTTCTATTTAACCTTCCCTGCACATGTTTTGTTGCTGCTCTGTTGGTTTTGTTTTGCTTATAAGTTTCCAATAGGTAAGCACTTAGCGATACGATTGCCATATTGAATAGTCCCTAGTCAGTTAAGAAGTTAGAGTTTAAATTATTCTCCAGGTGAATATTATGAAATTTATTTAAGGAATAGATGTAAAAGAAGATACTTTAAAAGCACATTTTATTGTGAACTAGAAAATGTCAACATGTACTGTTTCCTACATAGTACAAAAATAAAATGCAGTCTTTCCACATAGGTAGATAATATATCAAACAAAATAAATAATAATAATTTCACATTGCTTTCTTTGCTTCATAGTCTTATTTTACTAACCTTTTCCTTCTCCCATCTTCTAGTAAGCTTCTGGGAGGTGGGATTGAAAGCATGGCAATCACAGAAGCCTTTGGGGGTGAGTCTGGGTGCATGGGTTTACTGTGCTTGGCTTTATTGGGTTTTCTCTATCTCTGCAATGTCCTTTTTAGCATTTCTGTTGGATTATACCACTTTATGTCTTGGAGTGGCTGACACAAGGGTTTATGTGATTACTTTAAATGAAAGTTCATTTTAAGTTGTGTCCTAAGGATCTTCTAACACCAGCCCCTTCTCTAACACAAGGAGCCTATTTTTTCTACTTGGAATGGCACTGAGAAAACAAAACTACATTTTGGTACAATGCCAACTTAATGGTGTTGGTTCTTGTCTTTACTTTCCCACAGTCTGGTCATTCTTAATTACATCTTTCCTCTTGTGATTGATAACAGCTAGGTAAGGTTTGCAAACATTACATTGGCCTATACACATTTTGGTGCCTCCAATATTAGACCTGTTTCTGGCTATACTTGACTTCCTGATTCTAAAAATGGCAAAGTTTTCCTCTATCAGCTCTAATTTTTGAGATATGCCATCTACCAGTCTTCATCTGCTTGCCCATAGAGAATCGTGATTATAATATCTAAGAAACTAGAGCTGATGCAGTCGATCCAATACAATTTTCTGAATCAGAGTCCCCAGTAGCCCCAGGAACAGGCCAAAATCCAAGACGCTGTCGTATCTTTATTTTGAATTGTAATAGGACATCCTTGTAAATGTGGAGTCTGTGTACTGTATTATAATCTCTCTTCTTGGATAATATTGCAAGATCTGGTGTGTGCGTTAAAGCTCTGTTGAGTTCATCATTTTATCTTATTGCCTCTGCACACACCTGTAGACCTTCTATGGCATGGGCTTTGTGATGAAAGATTTAAAAATTGTGCTAATGGTTGGAAATATTAAGGTGAGCATCTTCAGTACTAAAATGTATTTCTGTTTTGACTTTTTTATTAGAATTCCGAACAGGCAAAACACAGCTTTCCCATACTCTCTGTGGTATGTATGTAACAATCCAATGAAAGACAAGAGATAGTCCCTCGATTGGTGAAAGATATTTATTTACAGTATTACTATCCCGCCTTTCTCAGCCCGAAGGTGACTCAGGGCGGTTTACAAAAGGGCAGCAATTCGATGCCATAACAATCTAAAAAAAATACCTGTTTGAAACAGCATGTTTTCCCCATTTTATTTATTTATTTACTTTATTTGTATACCGCTCTTCTCAGCCCTTAGGCGACTCAGAGCGGTTTACAACAATTTAGGTATAAACAATACTTTTAACACTTTGCACTAGCATTTGTATTGTGAGTAAACCCTGGAAAGTAAACACTGGTGTAATTTGCAAATTTCATCAGTGGGTTACATGTACCTATGGAATTATTGCATTTTCCTTTACATCTAGTTTGACTCTGAGAATTGTTTTATCTATATATCTCGTATACTGCCATAATAACAAATACATAATTATGATTTCTTGACTGCAAGTTACCAGGCTTTTAGATTTGTCATTTAACATTATGCATTATATAGTGACAGCCCAACTTCCAGGAGCGGATTATACTGGTGGGAAAATTATCTTCATTGACACAGAAAACACTTTGTATCCTTTGTCTTAAGATATTGTATTCTAACAGAATGTTTTGGAAGAGTTTCCTAATGTTAATAATACAACAAGAAGTATGAACTGTATAGGCAGTTCCCAAGTTACAAACAAGATAGGGTCTGCAGATTTGTTCTTAAATTGAATTTGTATGTAAGTTGGAACAGGTACATTTTTAATTGTAACTCCAGCTAGAAACACACACACACATTCATACATACACACCAGCTTTGGATAGCATAAGGAAGAGTTAAGACCCCTGTAGTATTTGTTTTGCTGTCTAGGCCCCTATTCAGAAGATTTCACCTTACTTTCTGTCCCTGTGACCATTGGATTTTGAAAAAATTGGCTTGTTGTAGAAAGAAGTATTGGTGAAAAAGTGTCAGTAGAAACACCTTTCCCCCATGTTAACTCTTCCAGAAGTGATATTCCCTTCCAAAGGGTAGATTTCTCACAGTTCCTGTTGTCTCACTCCCGTTCTTAACTATGAGTCGGATGTTTGTAATGTGGGGACTGCCTATAGTGAAAAAAACAGAGCTATTTTTTTTATTAAAGCTGACATTTATTGAGCAGACTGTGCCAAACAAGTAATTGGTTTTTATTAAATAATTTGTTATTTTATGTTATTTTTATTATTTGCATGTGTGTATTGGATCTTCACTTTTATATTTCAGAAACTAGATTGTAAAAGATATTCCTTAACTAGAAAACATTCCAGTCGTCCAGACCGTCTTCGTGATATTGCTGATCGCTTCAATGCAGATCATGATGCAGTTCTTGACAATGTCCTGTATGCACGGGCATATACTAGTAAGACTACAATTCAGCTCGAACTGGAGATCCTCCCGAATTATGAGATTAACTAATTGTCATAAATATAGAACAAAAACAGCCACTTTTCTCCTTGCATTTTGTATTGCGATCAAGTTCATGGTAAAGCATTCTCATTTATTCCACATGTATAGTATTATTTTACTGGAAATTCCAATAATCAATGTACTAAACAGAGGCTGGATGGCCATCTGTCAGGGGTGATTTGAATGCAATATTCCTGCTTCTTGGCAAGGGGTTGGACTGGATGGCCCATGAGGTCTCTTCCAACTCTTTGATTCTATGATTCTAAGTAAAAGTAAATTCTATTGTATTATTTTAAAGGCCTACATTTAAAATTAAACTATAAGCGTTATTTACATTTGGAAGACACACAGTATATTTTTCTTCACAAAGAGAAAAAACATTGTGCTTCTAAGTTCTTCCCATTGAATGCATATCAAAGCACCCAACAAGCCGTTGGCTTTATCTGCAACATAAAGAGTACAGTTACCCTAGGAAAGAAATGGAGTTAAATAATCTATAGTTACAGATATAAGATTGATTTTAATTTTTTGTCAAGGCATACATTATATTCTTTTTCATTTTTCTATTGCAGAGAAGCTGTTTTGAATACTTGAGTAGGATTTAAAAAACATCTTAACTATGATATTTTGTGGAGATAACCTTGCATATAACATTATTACAGATCTCAGGCGAAATTCTGCAGCAGTTACAGGCAATTGTACTAAAAGAGTTTTTATAATAAAAGGAAAATGAATAGTCTATTATTTTAATATGATTTAGGTGTGTATTTTATTAGTATAATACACAATTTAAAGGAAGAATTTAGTTGCCTTATGCAACTCTTCTTACTGGTTGGATATTTAGATTCTCTTAAAATGTGAAATTTTAGATAGGAAATAGTGGGCTCAAAGGGTTTTATAGGCCTGGATACAAAAATCTTGACCAGGGCAAAATAAAGCTACCATGAGGCAACTAGAATATAGCTCTATTTGCAGATAAATTATATTGGTGTTCTTTCTTAACTTCAACTTTGGTTGCAAACTGCTTTCCCTGTTTTTAATATTCTTCCATGGCACAAGGTGAGCATCAGATGGAATTGCTTGACTTCGTTGCTGCCAAATTCCACGAAGAACCTGGCATCTTCAAACTATTGGTATTTTTGATGTTCCTGTTAGCTATTTGCTCTACTTCCTTAACATATATATTGCGTGTTTTAAACTAACTTTTTACAAATCTTTCTCACACAATTATTGCTGCAGGTTATTGATTCCATTATGGCCCTGTTCCGTGTGGACTTCAGTGGTCGTGGGGAACTGGCTGAAAGGCAACAGAAACTGGCTCAGATGCTATCAAGGCTTCAGAAAATATCAGAAGGTAGGCGAAACATTACAGACAATAACATGTTGCTGATTCCCTTCATAAAAAGCGAGTTTTTATGTAATTCATTCACACTTTCAAAAGTTACAATATAATCATCAAACAATTTACCACAACAGTTGTGAGAAATTCATATTCAGATCTCCATGTTACTAGAAAACATTGGATAAGGACATCTCCACATGGGAAAAAATATCTGGGAGTCTCAGATTTTGTTCCTGCAGAAGCCTATTTTATTTTGAAAATCTACAAGATGTTTTCCTCAGTCCAAACAACTTCCTGTGCATTGAAATACTTGTCATTTGCACTTCCTAAGTCTGGTATACTCCCCAGTAATTTTTGAAATGAAAATTAATTGTTTTAATACTTGCATCTGTATTCCTGTTGTCTTAGAAGCAGTAAAGATGGTTTCCTTCAAGTAAACACATTGATTGTTTTTAGGGCACAGATGCAACAGATTAAGCAAAGGCGAGGAAAATTTTGTCACTAGAATAAAATGTCCCTAGTGCTTAACTCGTTTAATATTTGTAAAACAATATACCATGGTGGCTATAATTTAAGATATGCAAATGAGGTCATATTACTAGCAGAAAATAACAAAGAATGGAAAAAATTACTGCTCAGTGTCAAGGAATCAAGTGCAAAGGCAGGTTTATGCCTGAAAATTAAAGAAGCAAAAACAATGGTCACAGATTATTTCCATAACTTTAATATATACGATGTAGGCATTATAAATAGTTCTGATATTTAATAGTTTTAAATTGCTCTTCTTTCTGTTTCAGACCATTATGCTATTTGTTAGGAATGGTTTAGAAAGGGATTTATCCTGCTTTGTGTCATTAAAAAAAGCTTTCTAGCTTCTAGTTCTCAACCATATTATACTTTGGGAAAGTTGTTGTTTTGAAAGTCAGCACATGTTAAAGAAATAAATAATCTTCAAGACATTGTTCAAAGCTCATTGTTAGGGAAATGAGATAAAATGCAATATATTTACATTAAAATGTATTAGGGAAAAACGAATAAAATATAGCAGCTGACTGAAAAGTCTTGATAGAACTAAAAGATATCCGCCTGCAGAATTTTCCACTGGCATGGAATCTTACATAATCACGTTTTCTGAATGTTTCTGTTTCTGGGGAGATAACTGTGTTCATCAGTTGGAGCAAAAATTGTGTTGTTGCTCCTTAAATTTTAAAAAGGCTTTATCTGATATGAACTTCTATTGCTTGCAGCCCACTTCATAGGGTACATGGTGACGTAAATGTTGCACTGCTACCAAGCTGAAAAAGATTCCCAGTGGGAATTCTATTTAAGTTAGTTTTCTTTCTTCATGCCTATTCTTTTCCTTTGGTCTTTATTCTTGTAGAATACAATGTGGCTGTCTTTGTGACAAACCAGATGACTGCTGACCCAGGAGCAACTATGACGTAAGCATTTTCCTGATGGTATTACGAACCACAAAAATAAAAACTAAAGTAGTCTTGGAATGTTTAGATAGCTATTTATGAGGCAGATTCACCTGAAAGAAAACATAAAAGATAAAGGAAAAGATACCCAGAAAAGGTGGAATTCTGGAAGAACGGGTTGACAAAGCATAATCACAAAAAATCACATGGAAGAATTAAAATAGGAAAAATGTGAAAAATTATGTGGCTACACAGCAAACTCAAGGAGGAAGTGAAAGCAAAAACAAGTATGTATATAGGATGAGAGGAGGGGTGAATCACCTAAGGAAGAGTACAAATGTGTAGCCCAAGCTGGAATAGTAAAAGTGAAAGTGAAAGAAGCTGTGTTTTCCCCCAAAATAAAATAAATTATGTATCATTTTCTTATGTATATTTGAGGTCTTTTGTTTTAATAATGGTGGGATTTTTAAAAGAATTCTTCATTAATAACAAATATTTATGTGGAATATGTGGATTAAAAGGCCTGCATAGTTTATGCATTCTCATTTGTGAAGTGGACAGGAATCCATTGATAGTCTGCCATCCCAAGTATCATGTCATAATGGCAGAATCCAGCTTCCCCAAAACATCAGCCATCACAGGTTGAATATGGATTTTCCCCACGTTTAAATTACTTATAGCTTCTTCACTATGGCTGGAATGCCACAGGCAGTTTGGCTGCAGTCTGACCACTGTTGCTTTCAAGAATACTTGAACTCAGTCTTTGGATCTGTGTTACCTGGGATTTTCTGCATCAGGTTCCAGCTAAATCAGAAAATTACCAGGTATAAGTGATATGGTGTAAGATGTGTAATGTGTATGTAGATCAGGAAAGGATCTTGCCCATAAATCAAAATCAACTGCATTAACAATTCACATTCAGTTGGTTTGCTTGTTTATTTAATTCAGCTTTCAGGCAGACCCCAAGAAGCCAATTGGAGGCCACATCCTTGCTCATGCTTCCACAACCAGGATTAGTTTAAGGAAGGGCAGAGGAGAGCTGCGTATTGCCAAGATATATGACAGGTAATGTAGAGTATGAATAAACTGATAAGAGCTCCTGCTACAGAATACCTGATTATTGTGACTAGTGTCCAATTCTGCTTCGGAAAGGGTGGAAAAAATAAACTTCAATAAATTAAGTACAGTATTGCATTTTGGAATTAAGATTTACATTTCAAATAATAGGAAAAAGTAATTTCTGACTTTTTTCACTCCCTCAAAAGATCAGTGTTTATAATTTGAAGTTATCACTAATGAGCTAAGGCTTTACCTTATCAAGAAATATTATGTGTTGTTTAGTATTCAGATTTACTGAACATGGACACTTCTAGATAAAGTATCTACAGGAAGACTGCTGTCTGTCATTCATATTTAGGTTGGGATCTTAATGATGCTGTCACTGTCATCCTGACATACCTTCCTGGTGATGCATCTGCCATCTGAACCCCCATTCGTAACTATGGGAAAACTGATAAAGAAAGAGCAGACTAGTAGGCATGGATTGCATGAGCATGCATGACCATTATGGTGGTCTGAACATGTGCTACTGAGGCATATAGGGAAGTTGTTGCTGGGAAAGCCAGATGGCATATTGGTGAAACCACTTCTTTCTTTGTTGCTTGCTGTGAATTTCCATTTGTGAGCCATAATATAGTGCCTTGAGAACAGGGTCAGTACATTTGTTGGAAACAATGACCTGTGAAGGCGAGGATAGATGACGCATTGGACACAGCCGAATTCTAAAGTAAATGTGTTGATTCTGACAATAAAGCAGAGCAATCTCCTTGCTATTAAGCAGAAGGCAAGGATACCTCTATCAGTCTCTTGAGTAATTAACATTAATATCTACTTAATGGAACTAATTTCCATGAAATGAGTTATTATCCACTCAAACACCAAAATTAGCTATTTAACTATGCACTTGATTCTTTTAAAAAGCTTGAGTGCAATTACAGAGTTACACAAATATCACATATTTTGAAAATAATGTGTAGATTTCATTACTGATTTGATTAGGATGGGATGGTGCCAGCATTGAATATCAATTAGTACCAGATATGTGAAAGAGTCTAGCTTTCTAGCTTGAAGGCTGATGTTAATGATATATGAACATATTGTATGCCCCAACATTTGAAAAGTCCACTACAATTTCTCCTGCTAGAATAATACCAAAAAATGTATAGCACTTGATTATTATCTGTGCATTAGAATCATAGAATCATTGAGTTGGAAGAGACCTTGTGGGCCATCCAGTCCAACCCCCTGCCAAGAAGCAGGAAAATCGCATTCAAAGCACCCCCGACAGATGGCTATATCCAGCTCTGCTTAAAAGCCTCCAAAGAAGGGGCTTCTATCACGCTCCATGGCAGAGAGTTCCACTGCTGAACAGATCTCACAGCCAGGAAATGCTTCCTAATGTTCAGGTGGAATTACTACTGCTACTATAGAACATGGCTTCTTAAACTTTTCTACTTGTGATGTCTGAGAAATGTTTATGTGGCCCTAAAATCAAACATTTACTGATAATAAAACAGTATTTGCAGGACTTGCTAAACAGGCTGATTTTCCCTTTTTATGAGGTATAGTTGAAGTGTCTTCTGCAGCACCCTCAGTAAACACTGCACAACAACTTCGTGTAAATGTCTAAAACAACCACTAGGTGACATCAGGAAACCTTTACTGTTGCCAATTTTTTTCTGAAGCCCAAGTTTGAGTTAAGGGGACACATTTGCAGTCTGGAGGGCTCAAATCTCTGTTCAACCATGGACACCTTCAAAGAAAGAAAAAGACAAACAGTCTGAAGAAATTAGATTTGCCATAAGTTGGAAATTACTTGAAGCACAAAACAACAACAATACCACTAGTGTTGTTGAAGGCTACACTGGGTTGCTGTGAGTTTTCCGGGCTGTATATCCCAGAACATGGCTTCTGGAACATGGCCACACAGCCTGGAAAACTCACAGCAACCCAATATTACCAGTGTTACTGTTTTATGCCTTTTTCCTAGTTTGGGATTCAAAGCGGTTTAGAACAGATTAAAAAGAATAATTAAAATACAAATAATATAAATGTTAAAAGATGATAAACTATCATAAAATAAAAACCAGTTAAAAACTTAAATCATTGGGGAAAATCAGCACAACAAAAATAACGGAAAGTTGAGCATATTGTTTATTCAAAACAAACCTTGTTTGCTTAGTCCTTAAAGTCCTGTTGGAACAGAAAGGTCTTCACCTGTCTGTGCAATGGAATTAGGGAGGATACTAGTCTATCTTCCTTAGGAAGGAAGTTTCAGAGCTTGGAGGAAACCACCAAGAACACCCACCAGGTGTAACTGTGGCCCCATCTACACTGCATTATATGGTTAGTGTAGATGTGGCTTCCAAGGGTGATGGGACAGAGAGAGAGAGACCTCCCTAGTAGATCTCAAAACACTGGTATGTTCATAAGGGAGAATGCAGTTCTCCAAATAATCAAGACCAGAGATCTAAAGTTCTATGTGTGTATAGATGGTGATTAAATAATGATGGGTTGCTGTGAGTTTTCCGGGCTGTATGGCCATGTTCCAGAAGCATTCTCTACTGACATTTCGCCTACATCTATGGCAGGCATCCTCAGAGGTTGTGAGGATGTCTGCCATAGATGTGGGTGAAACATCAGGAGAGAATGCTTCTGGAACCTGGCCATACAGTCCAGAAACTCACAGCAACCTAGTGATTCCAACCATGAAAGCTTTTGACAACACATTAAGAAGTGATGGTTTTGTTCAGAAGCAAAGTAAGACAAAAAGGATAATTGTAAAATAAGGATTATGTCTACCATGTTCAATTTTACAATACATTCAGTAAAAAAAAACTTCTTAAGCATTTTTACTCATGTTTGAGCAAAATTTAAATACTATCCATCTGTAAGACTTTAGTTCAATTTTTCTAAACATCACACCTACATCCATACTGAAATTGGAATCAATTTCTGTTTTTTTTTTTTTCTCAGCCCTGAAATGCCTGAAAATGAAGCCACATTTGCAATAACGGCTGGAGGAATTGGAGATGCCAAAGAGTAGACAGGTTGTTGTGGTGAACAGCTGAGGCACTTCATTGGTTCAGCATTCATTGTATCAAATTCAGATTTCCACATTCAATTTTTAAAATCTGGTTGCTGGGGGCTTTGTGGGGTTTTTTTAAAATTGGCAACAAGTAGCTTGGCAGAGGTAAGGTGCCAAGACATACTAATCACAGGTTAAGAGTCACCTAGTTGTCTTGAGAATGAAGACTTACCAACAAACCGCAAAATATATGAAATGATTTTTTAAGATATTTGACCCTGGTTATTACTGGATACTGGGTTTTTTTTTCTTAAAACAATATTTAATTTAAACAACCTACCCTAATCTAAGGACCCTTGTATATTGTTGCAGTTTTTCTCTATATACATGAAAAATAGAAAATAAACATCTTGGAATGTTACTGAAAATGAACTCATATTAGTTTACTATCATTTTAAGAATCGTACTTTGTATCCATAGTTTCCAGATCAAAATGGATCAAAATGGATCAAAATGTATTGGAAAATGGAAATTGTTTGTGCAGGAGGAATGGTAGTCTTTATAAAGTTTTTAAAATTACATGAGTCTTGAAAGATTTATTTTGTTGAAAATTAAATGACTGTATTTCTGCTTTTAATAAATACTAACAGTTGCCAGATTTTCCGTCTGTGAAAAGCCTTAAGCTACAAAATCTCTTCCACCATGATATTCTATATGTTTGTCTCTAAAGACTGTTACTTGAAGGTGATGCTGAGTACCTCCAAACCCAGAAGAAGGGTTTAGCTATTAGTAAATGCACATGCCAGGTATCATGTTCTGCCTGTTCCCTTTTCTTCCTCTGGTGCAGTTTTAACAAGATTACGGCTATTTGCTTCCAATTTAAAGTAACTGCAACATATCCTTTTGTCCAAGCTTGGGCAACGTGTGAAGCTTGCTGAGTGGTTAGCACTAGTAGAGAAGGCTATAAGGACCCTGTAAAGTGTAAAACTATAAATCCAGGATTCTATACTACTAAGCTATAGAGGTTAAAGTTGTGACAAACTGCATCAATTTCACATTAATTGCATTAATTCAAATCATCACCCAAAGAGTGATGATTTGAATTCCAGCTTCCTCAGTTTTAACTGTCCCAAACATTACACAGGTTATCCTTTATGGCAAAATATGTGTCTTCGTTGGCTGGCTTGTATAACAAAGGTTTCTCCACGGCTTGATGAACCAAACATGGCACACATACCCTTCATTAGCCAACTTAAAATAATTGAAGGGTTTGAACTATTAAAAAACCTACTCCTTTTGAGCCCAGAGGGAAAGAAAAGGAACAAAGCTGTTGCTAGGTGACATGTGTATGAGGGGAAGGGAGGAAGAAAAGGAGAGAAGGAAGAAAGTACCGGGAAAACTAGGAATCTCCACAGGCTTTTGGAAGCATGACCCTTTCGGAAATTAATTGGTTTTCACACTGTTTGGAAAGGCATGACCTTGTTAGAGATTATAACCTTTTTGTAAAGTATGATCTTCCTGAGAAGAGTTAAAAATATGCTTGAATCAGTCTTCTCCCTAGTAGTAAATATACACTAGTATTTATGCAAGGCAATTTAGGCTTCCTAGCTGTTAGGCTGATATACCTGGTTCTCTCTCTGAACTGTTAGGAACAAAGATATGCCAATGCATCAATATAGCAGCTCATCGGAAGTGTTATTTTCAATAGCCCAAAAATATATCTACTTTCCCATAAAATATATTGCTTTTAAATCATACTTTCAAGAGACCAAAAAATAAGTAGTCTTTGTTAAAAGTTAACATATTTTATTTACTTACAAACTTCATGTATTTAGCATACAGGTACATTGCTTATTGGTTTCATGTTAACTGAATTATATTTAAAACCGTACTATACTGTACATCTGCTGCAAACAGACTCATATATTAATTGACACCTCACTGCAGCATACTATCTACACTCCTGCTCTAACTGACATCTACTGTCTCAACTAACTTCTAACTCCCAACTGACTCGATGTTGTACCCCAGATAGAGTTCACCTTGCCATTAGCACAAAACAGAAATCCAAAAGCAGTAGTAAAATACCAGTCGGATGAGAGTACATATAAAAATGGGAAAATCCCCCAAAGGAGTAAGAAAGGCAAAATCCAACAGATAATCAGAAAAGGTAGTCAATATATAAAAACCCAACCAAGCTGGTGAGGAGTAAAACACTTCAAAGGCAATAATCCAAATGGTACAGGAAAACAAGAATCATAATATAAACATGAATCCAGAAAAACCATGGCTATAAGAACTTAAAACATGAATCAAAACACCCAGGAACTTGAACTGGAAACATGACTTGACATCCTTACTATTAAGCAGCGTTGCCTGATCTGAACTCTCAATGAGACACTATCTAATTTAAGAGCTGCAAAACATGAAGGCATTTTTGACCTTGAGGTTCTGGCTTGTGAAACTTTGCCTGTGCGTCTTTCTCAATTATGCATCTATGGCAAGCTTCCTCAGACCTCTGAGGAAGCTTGCCATAGATGCAGGCGAAACGTCAGGAGAAATGCCTCTAGAACATGGCCATATAGCCCGAAAAAACCCACAAGAACTGAGTTTCTCAATTATTCTTTTGGATTTCCCGCACCTGATGTTTTTTTTCCTTCAGATCCAGCCTGATATCCCTGTCTAACTCAACTGTTCTCTTGGATGAGCTATCTTGGTCTGCTAGGTCTTTATCAGGAGTTGCTATGCTCCTTGTGGGTGAAAGGTCTTCTCCCTGTCTGCTGGACTCCAAAACAGTTCCACTTTCAAACTCATTCACCACTCCCTCAGGCTCTGAAACCCCAATCCCCTCACCACAACACTCAAGCCTCAACTGACTTCTGACTTCTCAACTGTGGTGTCCCACAGGGTTCAGTCTTGTCCCTCATGTTGTTTAACATCTACATGAATGTGCTAGGTGAGATCATCTGGAGTTTTGGAGTTCAATGCCATCTGTACGCAGATGACGTCCAACTCCACTCCTTTCCACCAGATGCTAAGGAGGCTGCCCAGGTCGTGAACCAATGCCTAGCTGCTGTGACAGTCTGCATGAGGGCGAAAAATTTGAAGTTGAATCCAGACAAGACAGAGGTCCTCCTGGTCATTTGCAAGGATGGGGTTACATTCCCTCTGAAGGCGCAGGTTTGCAGCTTGGGAGTTCTCCTGGACTCATTGCTGAGCCTGGAGCTTCAGGTTTCGACGGTGACTAGGGGGGCTTTCACACAATTAAAACTTGTGTGGCAGTTGCACCCATACCTTGGAAAGTCAGACTTGGCCACGGTGGTCCACAATCTCATTACATCCAGGATAGACTACTGCAATGCACTCTACGCTGGGTTGCCTTTGAAGACTATTTGGAAGCTTCAAATAGTCCAACAAGAGGCAGCCAGGTTAATAACTTGGCACACAACTCCCATGTTACGTCAGCTCCACTGGCTGCCTGTTTGCTACCGGGCACAATTCAAAGTGCTGGCTTTGGCCTACAAAGCCCTAAACACCCTGGTCCAGTTTACCAGTCTGAATGCATCTCCCTTTATGAACCAACATGAAGACTAAGATCTTCTGGGGAGGCCCCACTCTCGGTCCTGCCTCTGTCACAGGCGTGTTTGGCGGGGATGAGAGAGAGGGCCTTCTCAGTGATTGCCACCCGGCTATGGAATTCCCTTCCTGATGAGATATCAGCCCCCTCTCTTCTGTCCTTCAGAAAGATGCTAAAGACCTAGTTGTAGGACCAAGCCTTTGGGGCAGTGCAATGATGCAACAACAGGGAACTTCACTGACCAGGGCCAGCATGGTGTCTCGAGACGGTTTTGAACAGCTGATTTAAAAGTAGATATGAATGATTTTAATGTTTGTGTATATTTATAGTTATTTTATGTCCCGGCATGGAATATTTGCTGTTGAGTCCCCTTCAGGGTGAGAAGGGTAGAATACAAATGTTTCAAAGAATAATAATAATTCTAACTGACTTAACTGACTCCAACAGACTTCTGATTCAAACGCATTCTGAAATGGAGTCCCACTCTGAACACTCTAAGAACAGGGTCACATGATCTCTAGTCCCTCCCACAACCTCTAACAACATAGAGTTAAGGGCAAAACTGCATACCAATATATACGTACAATATAGCCAGCAATCTCAATTATATACAAAAACAAATATCTAGTGTAGGAAACTGGTAGGAGATTGCTATTTTCAACATGTAGTGGGGGAAGGATAACAGAATAGAAAAAAGGTATAAGAGAGGAGAGGAAAGTATGAGAAAGGAAGGAAGGAAGAAAGGAATGAAAGAAGGGTGGGAAGAAAGAAAAAAGTGAAGAGAAAGGAAAAAAGGAAGAGGGGAAAGGTTTGAGGGGAGAGGAAGATAGTAAAGAAAGGAAGAGAAGAAAGAAGCATGAGGGGGGAAAAAGGAAGAGCAAGCAAATAAAAGCGAAGATGTATGAGAGAAAGCAAGAGAAGAAGGAAAGAAAGGGAGATGGACAAGGCATATGAGGCAAAAGGAAGAAGAAAAGAAAAAGCCACAAAGAAAATGCAAATATATATGGGAGTATGTTGTCAAAGGCTTTGATGGACGGAATCACTGGTTTGCTATGAATTTTCTGGGCAGTACAGCCCTGTTCCAGAAGCATTTTCTCTTGATGTTTCGCCCACATCTATGGCAGGCACTATTTATTTATTTTAATTATTTTGAATGTTTTTACCCTGCCCTTCTCAACCTCAACTCAGGACAGCTTCCAACTGGCAACAATTCAATGCTGCATAATAAAATACAAAACACCAATAATTATAATAGTTAAAAGCATAAAAACATAAAACATTAAAACAATATACTTAGAGTCCACTGAGTTATTACCAGTCTGGTGGTCATTTAACTAGCTGTATACTATGATTAAGTACTCTGTTTAACTTATCCATAATCCATTTCCAAGCCATTGTCAATGTTGTCAATTGTCATTTCTGCCTAATTACCCGAAGTCTTGGTTCCACATCCACGTTTTTATCTTCTTTCTAAAGGTGAGGAGGGATGACGATGACCTAATTTCCCCAGGGAGTGAATTCCACAGGCGGGGGGCCACCACCGAGAAGGCCCTGTCCCTCATCCCCACCAAACGTGTTTGAGACAGAGGCGGGGCCAAGAGCAGAGCCTTCTCAGAAGATCTTAAACTCCAAGATGGGACGTAGAAGGAGAAATATGCTGGACCGGAGCCGTATATTGTTTTGAGGATGTGTACCTCACAATCTCTGAGGATACCTATCATAGATGAGGGCAAAATGTCAGGAGTGAATGCTTCTGGAGCATGGTCATACAGCCCGGAAAACTCTCAGCAATCCAATATATACAAGTAGGGTTTTTTTAATTTCAGAAATTGATTTTGAAAAAAGCATTATTTTA